CAGTAACATAACCAAACATTACTTAAACTGTTGGTTTTGCGTATGCACCCTTCAATCGGCAGAGGGTAAGCGTACAGGAGGAGGCGCTGTCGTGGTTGTGCTCCTTGATTGACTGATGCAACCTGCAGCTTTCACCATGCTGCAAGATCTTGCTGTGACAGAGATGGCTAATTTAGGATGTGCAGCATGGGCAATTGTACATGCCAGGACCGTGCTTGATGGAAAGAATCACAGAAATAATTAAACATTGACAGAAATAATGATATCATCGAGCTGTGTCTCAAACGTCTTGAAGTGCTTCGGTGTTGCGACGTTCAACGTGCAAGGTTCTTTGAGCAAGGCAAGTACAAAAGCAGGCAGTTGTGTGTTCAATCTCAGTATTGGTACGTCCTAGCATAGTGGATCCACTCTTTCATTATTTGTTACGAAGTTCTACACGAAGGATACTCGGGAAATCTGTTTTTCAAGTATGCCTTGAAATAGCTAATGCATTAGCATACAATAGTCCTGTGGAGGCTTACTGCTTGGAGTTCGCATTTCATTAATATACTGGATTGAACACGTTGAAGAATATCAAATATTTAGGATGTCCTCCAGTAGCGCACAATTCAGAATTCTCAAAGGACACACACACAAAAAAGAAAGGTTCGTAAATTGAATTTTTGATTGACAGAACCAAGTGGTCCCTAAATAGGATAGACTGAATTGAAGATCATGTTCTAGCAGCATTCAAACATTTTTTTTTAAACTGCAATTTCATAGCTAGCTAGTCTGCCTCTTGGATATAGTGGTTTTTTTTTCTTTTTTAAAACTAAATTGTTAGATGAATGCCTTAAGATTTGTTTTCGAAGAGCCACTCCTGCTTCCGTTCACATAAGTATGGCTCTATACTAATTGGAGTAGACGCAACTCTGACTCGAGACCACTTTTTGTGAACCTAGTTTCGATCTTATTGAAACATCCATGGTTCATACACTCGCCTTCAAATCCGTGTGGTTGCCTGACTAGCACCTGTTTTCAGTGCAAAACCCTTAGATGCCTCATCAAATGCAGAAAATGAATGATCGATGTCAACTCGAGCGAAAAAAAAAAAGCTCTTATCATGTGATGCTGCCACCGTAAGGCATGGCATTACATTGTGACATAACATGATCTCGCATGTTGACGTCTCATGGCGTCGTCACCTGATCAAAGGTGAGCCATTCACGGGGGCAGTGTAAAGCCAGGTGAGGTGGAAAATGCTTTCAGAGGAGGGCATAGCAAAAATCAGTGCGTCGGCTGTGAAGAAAAAGATGACGACTTTCGCCCCAAAGACGTCTTAGACGAATGCACAGGAGACCCTCTGAGATTTTTTTACACGCTTGGCAGCTTGCAAAACAGAACTAGGTCAGTGGCTTGTCTCCACGTTGAGCTAAAGCTTCATTCTAGATTACCATAATCAGTTTTAATACTATCAGGGAAGCTATTGCTGCTTAAGCCTGATTTCTCAACAATGCAGAAATGACAGTTATGAGTGCACAGCAGCAGACAAATCTGCCCTTGCTGCTAGTAGATGTTGCCTTGATATACAGATTGATTTGATTATAATTGGGGTTTAACATCCCAAAATCGCCATATGATTATGAGAGATGTGGTAGAGGAGGGCTCCAGAAATATAGACTACCTGGTATTCTTCAACGCACTCCCAAATCTGAGCACATGGGCCTACAGCATTTTCTCCTCCATCGAAAATGCAGCTGCAGCAGCAGGGATTCGATCTCTGGACCTGGGGGTCAGCAGCCGACTACCTTAGCCACTAGACCACTGCGGCAAGACCCCTGGTATACAGAAGCCTGCAGCAATTATTACAAAAAATCTTTTGCGTCCGAGTCCTGCTGTAGTCATAAACAGACTAAGCTTTAGCAAGACTTGTGCATTAGGGCTTTGAGCAGTGTTTGCCACATACATACTGGAATCCTTACTCTTTATAAGAGCTCTCTTGTTTATTTATTATAACACTTACAAAGCCTAAATGGGCAATATTGTGGGAGGCGAAACCGGAAAATGTTAGTAGGTTGTGTAATACATCAAAAGCAACAAACGTAATGCTAACATAAGAGATAACATTACCCAATTCTCACCTTGTTGTTTAGGCAACTTTGTGAACTCTAGGCTCTATGCTTTTTTTGCTTCACGATGTGAAGTGTCTCGCCATGTTTTAATAATTAAGTTAGGTTTACTCTTTTTGAAGTGGTTAATAACCAATGAAGCCCTTCTTTCTGCATTATGCCCTAACGAAGAAAACCTTTTTGGGGATAGGTTCCAATAGAGTGGCTAAAGCATGGCTAAACAAACAAAATTACACAAGCTTTAGATTCTAATCTGGTTTGTTTCGCTACATCAGCACTTAGAATCGAGTAAAACACTACAAAATTGTGGCCCAGAATTATACTTTAAGAAGGGGGCACAAGGGTTATATGATTCTACGGCAACACTCAGTGCATTCTACACCTTTTGGGTGTGGCTACAAAGTAAATTCTGCAAGAAATTTGCAATTCGACAACTTGTGCTTTGCCTATTGATGACTAGCACAGACACAACGGTGTTCTGATCTTGGAAGAGTGCTACAACAACGAAAATGGGGTGCCTTATCTGATCTGGCTATATCCACTAATGCTTATGTGTATATCTGTGCTCTTTTGTAAGGCACTAAAGAGCCTCAAAAGTATGTTCATGCAAATTGATTTTAAAAAATAGAATAGAGTGTACAAGTCATGAACCAGAATGAAGTTTTCTTTATCACTTCCGTGCTACCTATGCGTACAAAAAAAAAAACCCTTAAAATCCCTGAGAACATTACCTATCATCAGGTTTTTTAAATTATATTGGATGGCTCCTAAGTACTTGTGTTACCTTTTAATACGGTCAGTTCAAAATGCACATCATGTGCAATTTGAATGCTCTTTTAGGCATGATAAAGACACTTGTTTTCAAAACACAGTGTAGTGTTCTTGTCAGATGACATACCGCTGACACATGCTACGACATTACTTTTGAAAGCCCGATATATTCAGCCTCAACTGGGACATGAGGCCCTCACAGGATCTGAAAAAAAAAAAAAAAGGAAAAACCCTGAAGGACGTGCGAGATTCGCCTTCAAGAGTAAAATGCGGGAGGGTAATCGGGGACATGTGTGCATTGCCTTCTCAGTTGCTAGCCTCGGCTTCGGTCCGAGGGTCCACACCTCACTTGTAAGGAAACAAACGACTTTGCAGGGAACACTGGCCTGTTTCAAGCTATCCCAGAATGCCTACTGCAAGCACAGTTGATGATGATGATGACCTCATATGAATGGCACTCACCCACAAAGAAGATAGGCCAAGAATCGAGCGGCAGGATGCTTAAAGTAATGAACTGTGAAACTAAAACTGAGCTGGGAAATTAGTTTAGAGATAAAACTTTGAATAAATGCACAGTTTTGCAGTGCCCGCTATGTCGTAACTCTTCCTTTTACAAATGAGTGAAGGGCCCGCTATGCATTTGTGAGGCAACACAAAAACCCACACAGCCGCTCACTTTCTTGATGGTTTTGCAGTTGGTGATGATTAAGTATGTCTGAACACTGTAACGAATAGGCCCTTTAAAATAACAATCACTTGTTGAGAAATTCACGTTTTCATGCCTGTCGCATTACAAAGTGCATCGACCGGTAGTGGCATACTTTCGTGTTGCTTGTGATACCAAGCGACTGATACTAAGTGACTTTTGGTGGGCAACGGAAGATGGAAGCTTGCGAGAAGAAATTCCTAAACTGGGGTTGGGTGCTGGAACCGACATTTCAACAAGCGGACTTGTCTTTTTTCAAGGCTGCGACAAAAAGACAAGTCTACTTGTCGAAACCTCGGCTCCAGTACCCACCGCATGTTTATGAATGGCTCTTTTTGTGATCCACAGTCTTGTTTTTCACTCCCAAATTTGCACTACACCAAGATTGCTCCAGGAATGGCTGGAACTCAAAGGGACACTGAAAAAAAATTAGAAAAATCTGCGACTGTTCCTATAAACAGAATTCATTTTCCATAATGTTGAACAGATGGCTGAACTTTGATGGATTATCAGCACAAAGCGGCTGCACGTGAGCTCAGGCCGTGCAGTTGCCGCGTGCTGACAATCCATCACGGCAGTTTGTGAAAAAGCCATCAAATTCATTATTTTCCTGTAGTTTCTGCCTGGAATGAAGCTTGTATCTATCGATTTCAGGACCTAATCTTTCAATTTGGTTAATCTTGGCAGCAAAAGTTTTGTTCAGCATCCCTTGAAGGTGCAATAATTAGTTCAAGCACTGCCACGGAATCAGGGCTTCATACAGAAGCAGGCAGACGACAGCTGCTTAAATAAAATAATTTTTTTACCTCAGTAAAGCCAGCTAGAGCAAGTTATTACACTTCGTCTCAATTAATAAACGAGAAGCATATGTGATGAAGGTATGACTGATAATTATGCAGGAAATTGCTTTCTTTATTCTTGAACTGCCTCAAAATACTACCTGTGCCAATGATTTAGGCAAGTGTCAATTAAATGCTGTGACACACACTGTGAACAGCACAGGTTCGTCATACTGCCCATCTATTCACCCCATACACCAAATGGCATTGCACTCTCAGTGTATCCAGGTCCACCTTAGCGTGGTGAGCATTGTTTACTAGTGTTATAGGCATTGTGTAATTCCCTGCAATTAGTCACAGAGGCAGGTTTCTATTTTTTTTCATTAAACACATCTGCTCATGATAGTTCTCTATAACACAACCACACACACATCAAATGCGAATTTTCGCTTTCTCTGCTCATATCTATGGTGCTGGACGCAAAAAATTTTGGCGTGCTCTGTTATTACATTGCACTCAATGTGCAGGCATCCAGCATGCACCGAAGAATCAAAAAAGCTTCTGATGCAATTTACTAAAACCTACAAGGTTACTCCACTGACAAATGGGCATACACGAGAGCAAAAAACAGGCACATTTTCAGTGAGATCTTCAGTGAGACAATTTATTATTAAATACACACAAAAATCACACAGCAGCATACATAAATTAGGGGCTCAACAAAACCTCTAATATAGAGCTATGTTTATGTACATTGTGTTTGTTGTGAACGAGCAACAAGGCTTCCGTGGCCACATTACTGAGCCACCGCAGATCTACCAGGGGTTCATTTGAGGTGCCATATGTGTACAAATACAGATAGCACTGGTCTCTGGAAGGCAGCTCTATAGAATGCAAGCTTTACGAAAGCGAGCAAGAGAATGTACAATTATTAATAGCCCACCAGTAGATTGGCCGTCATGCAAAATTTAGATCAGTAAAGCGTCGTGCTCATCATCTGCTGCAGCTTCGCCGGAATGAGCTGCAACAGTTCGCCCATTATCTGAAGCTCGTCCTTGACTAGTTGTTCGTGTTCCGGAACCTTCTTGCAGTACTCCTGAACAAGCTCATAATGTTCCTTGATCTTCTCGAAGTTTGCAAACTGCTCTCTCGGTTCCTGCGCAATAATGCTGGAGTAGAGACGGCCGATGTAGAAGTGCGCCACCAGGACTGGACGTGCGAGGTCCTCTGGAAGTGGCTCCTGGAAGCTTGCCTCCGGAATCCCTGACCGTGTCGATGAATGACGTGTAGTGCCGAATTCGCCTTGTCGATGATACTGTTCACCTTCTTGACAGCCGGCGTCTGCGGGCTGACGGCAGGAGGCAGGGCCGCCAACTTCAAACTCATCATCTCGCTGTAGACCTCGCCGAGCTCAAACATGATCTGGCGGCAGACTCCCAGGTAGTACCGCGGGTTGACTTCCTTGAGGACCTCCTCATGCATGTCAATGCGTCTCTTGTGCATTTTGCACTTCCGGTCCGGTGCGGGACTCAAAGGAAGCGAGCTCCCTGTAAAGCTTGCTCATCTCCTGGACTATCTCGACGTAGTCGGTAGCGTGATCCTTGAGGGTGTAATAGGTCTTCGCATCTTCCAGCCACTTCTGCGATTTGAGAAAGACGGGTCGGGCACCTTCGAAATCCGTGACGAGTTTGTCGGTGATGTCTTCCTCTATATGGCTTACCTCCGCCTGACTTGATCAAGACGTGCGGCTTCTTGTCTGCTCCCAAGCTGTTAGGTTTAGCGCTGATATTCTTGGAATCCAACTGTTCCCGAGACGCTATCAACAGGAAGAGGCCGTATTTTGCCCAGCAGCGGGCCACGTCCGCGAACCTGTGTCGCAGCTTGTCCTCTTTCTCAGCCTTCTCCTCAGGCGTAGTCCCCGTCTCGGCGTCCAGCTTCTTTTGGTACTCATTGAGGACGTGGCTCGAGCAAGCCAGGAGATGCCTGCCGGCCGCGAAGTCTCCCCTGGCGATGAAGAACTGAGACAGCGTGGCGGCATTGATAGACCAGTCGATGCTGTCAAAGTTGTCCAGGGTCAGCTCCTTCTTCAGGGTGCTGTGACAATACATGGCGGCCTTGGCATTCTCGCCCAGGTTCTCGTAGACTTGTGCCAGGTAGTAGAGCGTATGGGCATTCGCGAGTTCGAAGTTCGGGTTTTTAGGTTCGTGTTGAGCCTCCTGGACTTGTTCGGCCGCAGCGTCGGGAAGAAAGAGGTCCACCGGGTTTACAGTCCTTGCCACCTCCTCGGGCGAGGCGCTCACCTTGGCGTAAATAGCCTCGGCTTTCTTCAGGAACTCCAACGCCTTGGTCGCGTCTCCGCGCCTGACGTGAACGATACCGAGCTGGTTGAGGGCGCACACGACGGTCAGTCGGCTCTCTGGATTCGCGTACCTCTCTTCCCCAACGATCCGAAGGCATTCTTCCAGGTACTCCTGACCGAGCGAGACTTCTTCGGTGTCGGTGGCGATGACTCCGAGCTCGTACTTGGCGAGTGCGCGGATGAAGTCCTTGCGCGGCGCATCGCCCAACTCCCCTCGGTTCAGGTCTTCGAGGAGCTCCTTGAGGATGCGCCTCGCTTCGTACTTGGAGCGGTATGGCTCGGTCGCCGGGTCGGAGCCGCTTTCGACGTCGATCAACTTTCGCACGCGCTCGTACTGAGACCGATACTCGGTGAGCCTCTTGGTCCATTGCCCCTCTAACGCCGATGCGGCGTCGTTCATCTTCATGGGGGTCGCCATTACGGGTTTTGGATTTCAGCCAGCAACTATGGCTACAAACGGCACGCGAAGCGGCTTCTCGTCTCATTGGTTTCCAAGGCGACCGCGAAACATGCCGCGAAACGCATGGTTTCGCGTGTCGTGTTGCTTGCCAAGTCTCACGCCGTGAACGCACGTTTTCACCTCACCACTTTACTGCCGAGTGCTTCGCGAAGCGTTGAACTCTGTTTTAACAGAGGTGCTTGACATGCCGACGTAAGGATTGACTTTACATCTGCGCGCCATTACGTAACGGCGGAGGATTTATTTTTAGCTAAACAGAGAAGGCTAGTGTGCGGCCGCCTCATTGCCTTTATAAGTCGTGGTCTGGAGCAAAACACACCTGACCCGCGCACCGCCGACTTTGTCCGTTTCGCAGCGTGCAGATGTTTTCTCGCGTGGGTGCACGTTCGATCGCGATCGAATTCAGATATAAATTGCACTTCGCGAACCCGTCCTTCCGCATCTAGCACAACTGGATAGGCGATAGCGGTCAGAAAGACTCGAATGCGATCGAAATCGTACCGCGTGACACCCGTTAAAATGACTCGATATTCCCGCTCCCGATATGCCCGGAGGTGTTCAAAATGTGTAGATGCATTGGCTGATGCATGCTATCGTTTTCAGGGAAACTATTTGGGACGCTGCAGTAAGACTCAGTAAAGAGGCTGAAAAGAATGGTAACTATCTTTACTTGCTTCCTGCCTGCGCCTTAATCACTGCCTAGCTATTTTTCATCGCGTTTTTTTTTGGCCTTGTATGTGGAAAAGACACCTCAGTCAGAAATGAAGCTAAAATTGCCTGCGCGTTGTTAATGTGCAGGTACTTCGAAGAATGTCGAGACTACATTCCTTGTTGTTGGCAATAAGCAAAGTGTAAGTATTACAGCTGGTTTAGAATTATGCAACAACAGCGATTTGCTATTATGTAACAAGGATTAATGTGCACATCGTTACGTATATGGCGTTCTTTTTCTTCACTGAATGAATATGATTACAAGATATGGATAACATAATAAACAATAGTAAAAAAGCTAAGGCAGCACAATAAATCAGTTGTAATCACGGGTCCCATACACCTTGACGATAACATCTATCTCTATGTAGCTCGAGCAAAATACTTCACTCGGTAAGCTCACAAAATTTAAAAAAAAGCATGCGTCAATTTTGATACTCATAATACGAACATGTTGAAGTTGTGCACATGAAATGTCATCATGTGCTTATGTATGGGCCCAACATTCACTAGATGGTTGTTACTTGTTGACATGTGGGGGGGGGGGGGGGGTTAAAAAAACGGAAAGAACTGTTCTGTCAAACGCATCTTCTGCACGGAAGTTGCTTTGCGACACATTTCCCATGATAAGTGGGCACTATGCAATGCGTATTTCGAAGCTGATGGTTTGGGTTACTGCCATCTACAACATACGCAATTGCACCTACTGAGTTTTTCATATTTGGTAACCTGGACTCTTTGCAAAGCTGCTACTTCATTCTCTACGGGCACTTTGACATCTCTTACTGATCGCTTTTTAGTACTTTATTTTTCAAAGCCCGATTTGTTTTCAGGGAAAGACAACACTTCTGCACCGTTTTCTTGACAAGGCAGACACTCCCAGGCCATCACTGGCTCTCGAGTACATGTTCGGAAGACGGTCGCACGGGGCCGGCGTGGTATGGTTTCTACAATATTTAGCACTATCGCTAGTCACTTCATACACTGAGTCATTGCATAATTTTTCACAATAAACATGAAGCATAACAAAACGAAAGTGAAACAGAAAGCCTCTCCTGTACAGTACTTGCAGATTGACGAGGAGGAATAAACTTTATTTATTTTAGTGAGCTGACGGCAATGTCGTCCAAGGTGGGAGGCCTCCCTTGTTCAAGATGCCGAGGGCTTGGACTGATAGCTCTGTTCGCTAAGTGTTGCTCGTGTCCAGGGGCGAGCTTATCAGCTGGGCCTCCCTTCTCTCAACATTTAGTGTAGGGAATAGGCGGTGCTGAATCATAAAAATTTAAAGCCAAGTAATCTCATACTTTCGTTCACAGCATTGACAGTTTGTACCATATCACAGAATTTTGGCCTAAACATGTGCATTCCAACAAACATTACCTTTGATGCCCAGATTTTCAGCAACATAGCATGGTAATCATGAACAATTGTTCATGGCAGTCGTTATACTGAATGAAGTCATATCAACTTTGAATCTGTGAGTGCTGTAATAGGAGAGACACACGAAGACAAGTGCTTTCTTCTTGTATCCCTTCTTTGTCAATGTCTGTAAGCGCACTGTGAGCTGTTGTGGATTTTCACCAACTGGCCCGGTGAAAAACATTGCAAGTACTGTACCTTGTATTCACACATTTTATGGACAAGAACAGATGTGCATGTTTATAAGCCAAGCTAACTCAACTTTTCTTCTGGACTTACTCTGAAAAACACTGGTGCTCTTCATCCTGCTGTGGGAACGTTAAAGCCCTAACCACCTAAATAATTACCTTCTTTATGTGACTTACTCGTATTCGCCAATCATTTAATCCTCCTTCTTCCCATGGCATCGCCTATTGCTGTCTAAATTCACGGATGCATAGCGAAGATGTTCGTAATTGTTCCTTTGCTTTCTCTTTTAGTTTACAGCATTTGCACATGCATCACGTCAGTGTAGCGTATACTATTGGTGCTATATAAAATTGTCTAATATAGTTTTTAGGTTACTGTGGCATTATTTGGATTACTTGGACAAATAGCTGACTATTTTTGTTCCAGACTGTAATGTCTGTACATTTTCATAGAGATCTTCGGAGTATCTCGCATAGGTGTTGCGAGACCCGTATGTCTCAATTACAGCTAAAGGACATTTGCCACATATGGGAGCTGGCCGGAGGAGCGTTTGCCACTGACCTGTTGGAAATTCCGATTACCATGGAAACACTGCAGTGAGTATGTTGGCACTTCTACGTGTATTAAATCAGGAACTTCTTGATAAGATCATTTCGGGCAGCTGACAGCTACTGTGGATTTTTGAAAGGCACGCTCATGGCAATTGGTTACTTTCGGTGTTCACTTGTAGACTTGCCATTTGAAGGATTGCATTTTCAAGTTATGCAGTAATTACCTACTGTGAAATCCTCAGCAAGCACCTTCCCCCCATTCCCCTCTACAGTGAAAGATAATCTAATAAGATTTGGAGGGTGGGCCATCGTTCGGTTGCAGATAACAATTCAAGGTGGCAGTGAAACAGCTGCCAACTGTATAGAATGCATGCCCGTACTTCTAATCCATATGCTTCATTGATTACGCATTCCTTAAATGTCTTTACTCGCACTGGACGGGTGAAGCTAAAGAGTGATGACGGCAGGGCGGAAGGGGATGTGGCTTGCGTAGTCATTGGTGCTTATTTCAAATTTCCTGAAAGAGAAGAGGGGGCGCTTGCTAGTGATTTTGCAGCAAGTTTAAAATGAGAATGTAGCATAAAATTGTAACATATGTCATAATTAGCACCTTACCGAATGTTAATTATGACGTGTTGGTTCCATGTTTGTCATAATTAACACACACTTGGATGTTAATTATAGCCAACATGTTGCTGGTCTTGTGCTATGCACCACTGAGGGCACAGACATTGGGAAGTGATTGTGACTTTCACTTTTTTTTTTTTCATCTTGGCTCTCAGTAACACAGATGTGGAATAAAGATTGGGAACCCTATTTTAATTTATTTGCAAAAAAAAGTTCTGAAAGCGTCAGTTTTCAGGCTTAATTTTGTTGCTCAGATGTATGTACTGCTATTTATTAGCATAATTGCTCTCCAAAAGTCTTGAGCAGCTTCTGCTCACTACCTGCTGCACGTGGAATTACTCAGTGGCTCTCATACTGCCACTGATTGTGTTCTTTAATTATTTATCATATTCACAGGTCACTCTCGGTTATCATGGTGTTGGACCTGTCCGCACCAGAGGTCCTGTGCATCCTGTTTGAGACGTTACTAAAGGCGCTGCAGTCCCGTATCGACCGAGTCCTCGACGGGGCTCTGAAGAACGATGCCAGCATCAACGAAGCGATCCACGAGGCCAGCTCGTCTCGTCTGCCGAATGAACACCCCGTAAGCGAGTGGTGTTTATTAATGGAAAGGCTTGTTTAATCCAGAGGCTCGGCCGGCATTTTCCGGAAAAGCTTGTCCATTTGCGTCTAACTTCTTCACCGTGTTGAGAGAGGGAAAGCCTAGTGTGTTCTAGTCTGGAGCAAATAGCATAGCCGCTAAAGTATAGTATGGCATACTTTAGTGGCTAATTTTAGGTAAGTGTATAGTACAGACTGTTTTACAGAGGGGTTTCAGTGCCGCCGTGTTGGGCTGTTAACACTTGTGTTTTGCATCTATAACAACTAAATGGGCAGTGTTACGGCGGACGCATACACATGAAAATTGTTGAGCTGATGCTTGTGATGTTTGATGGCCTTATTGATTCACATCACAATAAGAACAACAAAGCATCTACTTGACAGCCTAAAATAGCGACACCCTTGTGGCTTGGATAAAATCATCAAGGGAGTGGGAAAAAAAGTGGGAGTGAGGGAAATATATGAAGGTTAGGAAGAGGGAAAGAAGGAAGGGAGATAGCAAAACACGACGTATCCATGCATAGTAATGTACACAAGGGGTGGAAACACTTTTTTACAGCCCCTTTTTCTTTCTATACTTTTTTCAACCCTCCCTTGACGTTTGCGCTGTTCTAAACCGTGAGCTAGTACGAGTTTGTGCAGCCTTCAACTTTAACATGGGAAAGGGAACCGAAGGCAACGAGGCGTGATGTAAAGATGAGGAGCATAAGAAAAAGGTAAAACATAGCATGGTCTGATATTGTTACACTGATACTGTTGCTGCCATAGTGGAAACTTCAGAGATGAGGGACAAAGAATTACGACGCGCACAAGTGCTAACTTCCAAATAGATTTCTATTAGTATTACGATGAGTATTTATAATCCTAACAAAAGCTCATTTGGAAGTCGGTGCTTCTGTGGGTCATAGTCTTGTCCATAGTCTGAAGTTTGCGTTGTAGTAGCAATAATGAATTACGAACTAGCCCAAACATGCAAATCGGATAATTTAGTATAGCAAGCAGTGGCAAAGGTAAGAGAGGGGGAGGGTAAGGACACCATATCTATGGTTTTCTCTTTGTTTGCACCACTGTGTAGCTGCCCCAATCTTTTTCTTTTGCCTAATTATAGTGTATAAAAGAACCTTTCTCTTTGGCACTTTATAAAACATAACGAGGCGACTCATTGATTCATTAATTTCTTTGAGCACTCGCACATGCTTTGTTAATACACAAATTACAGGCTGCATTAGGAAGAACGGTTTTAAACGGAAGGGGAAAATGCACTTCAAGCATTTTCGTGATCGCAACCTAGCCCCGCGTCTCAGGTCTCTGTCAGAGCTAGCAATGAAGGCAAGATTGTTTGATGATAATGGCACAAAGTACAAGATGCACTTATGCATTTGCAGAGCAGTGAGTTTACTAATTCAATATTGGCAATAAGTGACCAATTATTTGAGCATTTCGATACAGGACAATTGCTCAGGCCCCCGCACACACGTATACAATGCAGTATAATGTTTGTATTGCCTAGTTCTCTTCTTGCAAGATTTTTCAGTTTTAATTGAATACTTTATTAATATAATAAATCATTTATGCAATTTTCATGCCTCTGGACTTATGTATCTTGCATTATTCACTGCCTGCTGGGCTAAAAAAATCACGCATTTTATCACATGGCCGACAATGGTGATAAGCTATGTGCAATATGGCCTCGGATGATCACGAGCACAAGCGCTAATCTCTGAAGCCACACTTGAAGAAACTGCTCTTAACAAGGGCTTGGCAGTGCTAACAACGGATTTTTCCAGTGGATGCATCGAGCCATGTAAAGGGATAATTTCCATTGCAACGGCAGGCCTCAAACTCTTGCTGGGTAGTTCATTTTTGTTTAGCATGGCTTTGCAATTTAATGAAGGCTGTTCAGTTTTTCTTTTTTCCTTAGGAGTGTATTTTTTTTTGCTCCATTCATCTTAAAAGCTTTCATGTACCTTATCGTGCTGAAGGGCTGTTCTGTAAGCAGCATCACTGTGTTTTACAAGCTAAACTTATTTGGTGCTCTTTAGAATTACACTTCTGTTTCTACACACGTGATAGAAATTTTGAAAGAGGAAATTCTTTCGTTAGTTTAGTGGCATATCTAGCACAGCTCGTATGAGGACTATGCTGCTCTATTCTTTCTTAACATTCAATCAAACTTGCGGAGTTAGGAAATGCTGTAATTTTCAGGACAAGAAGGCTGTGACACCATTCCCAGTTCCACTGTTGATCATTGGTTCCAAGTACGACATCTTTCAGGTATGTGTATTCTGATGCCTTAAAGTAGGTTCGGCCCCTTCTTTATGAGTTGTGGTCATATTGGTGTTTCTATGTTAGGAACAAAAGAGGGTTCAAAGCTGGGCTGTGCAACGCCGTCTAAACCATAGAGTTTTCCTAAAATGAACTATAGGGGACTCTGTTGCTGCGATCATTCAGCGACCATGGGAATGATGGGTAGTACTCACATTTGCCTAGTCTTTGTAACCTGCGGGCGGCGAATCGTACTTGCGGCCTCGTTTACTGCTGTGTTTCGGTTTTGTTTTGAAAGAAAGATTCAACCCTTTTAAACTACGTGAACTGATTTGGAAAGGTAAGTCTAAAAGAATAAGGAGGTGAAGCACAACCGCTGAACATTTGCTGATTGTTGTTTCGTGAGAAAACAGCTTCAAGCCACACACACACACGGAGCCAAAAGTAGGCCAAAGTACGAAGATTAGACAAATGTGTGTACTACCCCTCATTCCCGTGCTAGCTGAAGCACCGTGCGTTGCAGCTCCCATAGACACTAGCACTAGAGTTCCCTCTAGTGTATATTAGGAAACTCTATGGTCTAAACAGGACAATTGCCATTAGATACCCTCAAAAAAGTTCTAAAGTAGGAAGGGATGAGTAGTGCATTCTCATAATGCAATCTGCAGTGATTATGCGTATACTGTCAAGTATACTAGAAAAGCCTGTAATTAACAATGATAAACCATTATGGTTTTGAATTGTGGGGCGTTTCTTAGTTACACGATGTCACGCTTCGGCGTTGGCGGCGTTATCCACACCCCCACTGCACATGCTCGTGTCTCGTGGCGCATGCTCGCATCTCGTGCCGGCAATACTGTCGCTCCAGAAGCCGTTAAAGAATAAGACGTCACGAGGCGTTCAGCAAGCCGAGCATGCGCTGTGGGGGCGTGAACCTATCCCCTGTACTCCTTTCCCTCGAACGCAGGCGTTGTGTAATAAGCGTGCGGAGGGCGCATTCGGAATTAAGTCAAGGGCATGTTTCCTTCGCTTTCATTTGACTTGACGCTTAGATTTACTGAGTAGATACTTTGGAAGCAACAGTAGCTTTAACCAGTAGTGGGGCACAACCCAACATCAGCGTCGCACCACTTGTTGAAGGCAACGCTTCTCTTTCATTAAATGCATAAGTATAATGAAGATGAAATAACAATTAAGCATTCCCAAACTATACTTAATTACAGAACATTCACGCAATATTCCGACCACTCTGCGATGCATTTACTCAAGTTCCCTCCGTGGGAAGATGCGGGCGACTTTTTTGTTTGATCATCCTTGCAGCAATAAAAAAAAAAGAAATTAATGCATACTCTAAAGGGATCTCTATATAATGAAGGGCATTTTTCTATGAGAACATGAGGAGGAGGAGGTAGAAAAAAAAAGGCAGGAAGGTCAACCAGTCGAGCATCTTGTTTGCTATCCCACACCGGAGAAGAGGATTGAGGGATGAAAAGAGAGATAGAAAGAAGAAAACATGAAAAAAAAAAACAGGTGAGCTTAAACTACACTGCTGCGTTCTATAGTAGTGGACGCATGACTGCAGGCATGTCACGTTCCACTGAAAGTTGTCAGCTCATGATGCCTACTAAAGGCTTGCAAGCACTGAACGTAGAACGTCCAGTACCTGTTGTACAGCCTGAGTGTCTGGTTATTTCAGCCAGCCGACGACCACTTCAAGTGCGTCGAGTAATAATTGAATTGAATAATGCCTAATAATAGGGCTGAGCAGGCAAAATGCTGAACAAGAGACTAGCGATTATCAAAAAGCTATCATACACTTCCATGTGCTAATTTTATTATGCCCTTTCAAGGTATGAGATCTCGCTTCCAGTTAGTGCTTTGAATGAGGTGATCACATAGGCACATACACTTTTTGTTAAATGTGCTTGATTCAGCAATCAGATGATTGAGAGGTGATGTCTTGGTGCATTGTGGTGTTTATTCATCTTTCTTGTTTGTGTTTGTTTCCGACTCTGTTTTGCATCAGCGGCCACATTAAACTAAGAAGCTTGTTAGAGTTGCAAATTTCTTTATTTTAATTAGCACCCAAGTTCTTTCTATGGCCCAATCTGGGTGCGTGATGATAGTGTGTTCTGTTTCTCCAGAACTACGAGCCTGAGAAGCGGAAAGTCGCCTGCCGCTACCTCCGGCACGTCGCTCATGCCAACGGGGCATCCCTCCTGTTGACAAGCTCCAAGAATGAGTCTCTCATTTCGAGGCTTAAGACAAACCTGGCATACCTGGCCTTCGGTTCTGGCTCGGGCCCTATGTAAGTGCTCGCACTTACATAGGGCCATCTGTTGGTGTAGGATTAATTACCATCGAAACTGTATTTTTTCAGGCTCCAGCACTAAATACAAGGCAGAATCCCAACGTGACCTTGTCAGGATAACCCCTCGTACTTAATCATTCTATCCTGAAGATTTTCCATTGCGTAGTAGTGCTGTGAATGTTTCAAACAATGTTTGACTCACACAGTGTCTTAATCATCCCGAAAATTAACAGTTCACATCTGTGTTTCATAGAATATTCTTTAGTGGGCAAACAGAACAGTGAGCATCTGTTACTTGCAGGTCAGCTGTGTTTTTTCAAGCACTGGGGTGCAGTCATGGACAACCTAAATACAAACATGCTAAGGCTAGCCGAAACACATTCTTTTGTTTTAGCTCTTTCTGGCATACTAAATTTAAGCGTTATCTCAGCTCACACACTAAGTGTATGCTTGCGAAAGCTGCTCCACTTTCTGATTTCTCGTTCACATTTTATTTTTCTGTGACTGTACAGCACTAGCTGAGGGTACTACACGGCAGTATGGAAACGGTGTCTGAGGGCTACAGCTTTTAGTGCAAGCTGAATATGCTTTCTGCTTGATGTTCATGGAAGGGTGGGAGGCTCGTGGAGACAGAGAAGGTTCTGGAGGAGCGCTTGGCTAGTGCGTGACATTGTAAGCTATGGCAGCGTCATCTCTCGATGCTTGTAACCCACTACCGTGCTTGTTAACTTGTGTTTATGAGTCTGTGGCGTACCAAGACAAGTACCACTGCGGTGCCAAAGAGTGGTTATGCATGAAACTGCTACTGTGTATGTGTTATTGATTATAGGTGTTCAGCTCATGTTTTACTAACTCCGTGTGGTGAACTCGATGGGTCGTTAACATTGTGACTCAATGAAGCTCTCGCATCGTGGTGCCCCATGTTGCTTCTCCATGTGAACTGTACGACTAAGTTCTGAAGAAGCTATTTCTTGCCAACATTTTTCATTTCAAACATCTTTCTTCCATTTTCTGACTCTTTTTCAGCAAGGCATCGCACACAGATTATAACAAGCCCCTGCACATAACGTTAGGAGAGGATTCGTTTGAGAGGATTGGTAAGACTAAATTGGGCATACATTTTACTCGTGTATAGCTTAACTGAACTTCTGAACTGGCACTATTGAATATTTCTGTGAATATGCCGCTCTTTTTAACGAAGTCGTGACTGAAAACTTTTCTCTTGATTTATTGCTTTGTTGGGCAGTCTTCAACCAAGTAATTGTCCCTTGAAGCTTCATTTTCCCATTAGTGGAATGAAGTAATTTCATCTTCTTTTAGTTCAGCTATTTTGAATGTATGTCTGGCTAGGGCAGCCTTTTATGTCAAAACTGGGGCTCATTTTGTCATTGAAAGCAGCTGTGGTGGTCACCTGGTTCTGGATACTACTAGGATGGTGTTATTGCATATATTATGTGGCCTCCCAACGCTTGTGATCGTCGTCTTGCCTGTAACAGTAGCCCAAACCTCTGGTGTTAGTGAAATGTTAATTCTTCTACCTTTCTAAAGATGCAGTGTGCTTAACATCGTTATTTAGGTGAGTCCTTCAAATAAATAGCTCAGTATTAAGATATTTGCGGCGCTCTTGAGAGATGAAGGCTTCATAATTACGGAGTCGAGAGCTACCCAAAAAAACGAATAATTAAAATGACTAGATTTTTTAGTCGGTTCTTTTTTTAGCACAGAGCACATCAAAGCTGCAGAACACTGTGGTACTTTGATGGAATTGACGTATGGGATCATCAGAACTGTACATGCACGGTTACTGTGTATACAAAATAAATGATTGAACATTATCACCAGTATTTTAGCAAGCCAAAAATGAAAGCTCCAGTCTGCTGAGCAATTTAAACAAAGCAAAACAACAAAGCAACAGAGCAATTTTTTAGAGCAATTTATAAATTATAAGTAATTAACAATATGTACGTGTAATGAGCGATTCAGAGAACCTTGGAACATGCTTAGTCCTGGGATGCTTACAAATACAGTTGCAGCTCACTGAAGTTAAGTCACGTATGACTCAAAAATAGCTTCATTGCATCTGATATTTGTATTAGTAGTGTGTATTTGTTACACTTTGATGTTGACGACAAACATTTCAGATTTATTTCAAAGTATCCAATAATTTACTGCCTCTTTGTGTGCTACGCTGACATTTTTCTGTCCCAGCTGTCTGTTTTTCACAACACTCCAGTGCTTTCTGTTGCCCTTAGATGGTTCCACGCCTGCCAATACGACTCAAGTTTTAAAGTGAGTATAATTGTTCAATAGCCCTAATGATGGACTTCTTTTATTGTGTGGAACACAAATTTAAAAGCATTATATTATTTATTACGTGAAATAGAAAATAATGCAATATTATATAATATACTTGAAAGGCAGCATTAGGACAGACATATTCGCTGAACGAGTGCTGACCTTTTGCCATTTCCCCGATTCAATTTTGCTTATCAATAACCTAAAATTTGTGCTGATGTACTCTCTAGTCATAAAGGCATAGCTCACCTGTTACCTTTTATTTTTCAGTATTAAATAAATGGTTAAGAACCTAGAGCTATAAACAGGTGTGCAACAGCTGCGCTGATTGCACCAATTTGATAAAATTGGTCATTTGTGCGCCGAGCTGTGCGAAAACCATAAAATTTGCTGATATTGTGCCAAGCTGCACCAAAATGCCCAACCAGGTTCAAAATTTTCTCATTTGCCCTAATTTGAGCAAGAATTGAGACCACTTTAGCCACTAATAGTTTGCATCATCAATCTATGCGGGCAGACTCGAACCCTAAACCACAGTGTAAGATAACTGTTCATTAGGACAAGACACTCGCGGAACTCGATCGACCAGATGAAGCAACAACGCCGCGTGCCCGTCGGTCTGTTGACCACAGTAGATAGTTACTGGCGGGACGACGCAACTACAGCACACAAGAAGTGTTGCCGTAGCCAGCACCACTTCGTGGGAAATATGAGTTTTCTAGTCAGCAAGTGCGGCCATGGCATGTTAGGAACCATTAGGCACTAAAGCTGGAAGTGTACAAACTCAGCACATCGAGCTTGTACACTACCAGCTTTATTTCATGCCGTGACCACGTCAGTTGTCATAGCAACGCCACATGCGATAGATATCTGGTGCCATTGCGGGGCCAACTGGCGCATGCCATCATTACTTTATCTGGTCAAACGTGCCTTGCAAGCAAGCCAAAAAGTTGTGCCCTAAATGTAACGTCTTCATCAAAAAAAAAAAAGAGGGGGGGGGGGGGGCTTGGTTCAAAAATTTCTTGGTCTTGTTCTAACCTGTGCAGAAACACCGCTTAAGCCACCTTTGCCATAGTACATGGGTGGCCTGCGGAAAAGCGTTATAATATTCAGAACAGGTGGGCTTATAGTTGTAGCCTCTAGACACTGCACAGTTTGTTCAATGACTGATGCATGTATATGCTACATATTTGTGAGTACTGATATGCTCGCTGATGTCTAAAAAAGTTACTGGCAAAATTATTTGGAGTACATTATGCCATCTCTGCAGCTGAAAAAGTCAAACAGTTGTTTTTTTCCAGTTTTACGAATCTCATGGTCACCATCTTGGGAAATCCACATTTGAATTCTCAAACAATTTGACAGGCCTGGTGATTTCTAATGTGGACCTCATCATTGTTTGTTGAGTGGGGTGATTAAAGAGATTACTACTTTGTTGTATTAGCAGTCCTCACATTCACTGTGAATGATTCAGGGAATGTTAAATGGCTTGCATATATATATCTAAGCCTTCTTTCTCAATCTATTCAAATTTCGGTCTTTCGTGGTAAAAAATGAATGTTTTTTTTCTCGTGTAACCTGCTCTGAATTTGAGTTTTAGTGCTCCAAAGGTAACATTTTGCTGCTCCAAAAATTGCTCCAAATTCTAGTCCGGCTGTTGCACCTCTGTATAAAAAAAAATCTCAAAGAAAGACAAGTCTAAGAAAGAAGACAAGCCCTGAATATTTCAATTAAACACGTTTTCCACAGCCAGTTTCACTTCCACGTTTAATGTTTGTATGGTTTGTGATGCCGTGACCAGTAATGTCATCGCACTATACTATAGGCGCATAGTGACATTTCGGTGCTCGCGCCGATTCGCCTATAACCTCTCGCGCTTTCACTTGTTGAGAAAACCAACGTTGCACCAAGCCAAAGCGAGCATGGCATGTGCCTTCTAAATGACGTCACCTGAGATCACAAGCAGGTACTTTTGAAAGCACATGAACTGTTTAAGCACATGCACTGTAAGAGAAATATATAATTGGTAAGTAAAAAACTCCCTTTATCTCAATCGCTTTCAGACAAAATAAGTGCTTTTTAGGGCAAAATCCACGCCTTGCGACCTTACGAAGTTTCTTACGATAAATGACTCAAAAGTAGTGCTCTCCGCGTCGGCTAAAACATTGGGTGTCATTTTTCATGAACTGACGACTTGACCCCGCTATACCGATTACCTAAGAGCTAAGCTCTCTAAAGCCTCAGGTATGTTGCACAGATGCCAGAAATTGCTACCAATACAACAGAAACTCGTGATATATAATGCGCTATTTGCTTTGCATCTGCACTATGCCACCTCGTTCGGTCAAACAGTACAAAACAATCATTAGATTATCTTGTCACACTGCAGAAGCAAGCCTTACAGGCTATCGCTAATGTACCTTACAATGAACATATGCGGGATCCGTTTGGGAAATTCAAAAATTGTCAGAGTAGACCACTTTTGTGAGTATCAGCCTATGAGTTCTTTTAAACATGGAATGACTAAGGGCAGCATAGGAGGAATGTCGCGAACTTGTTAATCAACCAGTCATCCCGCTTAAATCGACACACCCAACATTGGGCAGTTCCGCGACCACGCACAAACTACAGTTTTTAAACACCCTCCTACATTCTTCCTTCTATCTAAACAAATATAAACTATGCGATCACAACATACATCGTCTTTCTAAAAAGACAATGTGTCAACTAATTTTAAAAATACCAACCTAGCTTTTGTGTTTGTTCAAAGTGTGTGTTTCTTACTGAATTTTTTTATCACCTTGCTTCGTGTATTTCTATTTTATGATTGCCACAAGTGAGAATTCTTGTCAACATTGCTGCTGCTGTTACTGTTCGAGGAGCTGGGACCAGTCAAGCTGCCTACATGCTACTTTTATCCTACTATCCTTGCTGTTGAAACATGTTTTTATCTGTGTGGCAATAAAGTTCACTTCACTTCTACATGTAGGAGTTTAGTGACAGGAAAGAAACATGGCTTCTAAAGGACTATGATTTTATAAGCTCTAGGGCGTGTAAGTAACTTCAGCTTTGGGCTTTCATGCTGTCATCTATGCTCAGAGACAGTCAGTGTCGCCATGTGCTATGAAAATATTGCCAACGGTCTCATGACATCTTCAAATGTCAACGGTGACATTTCCCTCATGAAAGTCGCGTGCTTTTGCATGATTACTTCATGAACCTGTAATAACAGTACATGCTGAAACTTGCTATGTTCTCCAATGTTTCGTTTTACGTCGCATTACAGCTGCTACGCGGTAGTGAAAAAGGCATTCACAGAGATCTTTCCACAAGTGGTATGTACGAGTATTTACATCAACGCACTTAACCTTAAGTGGGAGAGAAAGACTATATTGCTTTAGCTACTGCTGTAATTAACATTTATGTTATTGCCATGTGTTAAAGGACAAGTGTTCTTCTCAGATACCACTGTACTGCTTGTAATGTGCAGTATGTTTCTGAAATGAACTTGGAATGAAAATCATTCGTGTCTTTTTTTGGCCCGCACAGAGAAAAACCTTAGAATCTAAAGAAAATGTTATTTAACGTTGCAGCTTAATCATTATGTCTTGTTATGCTATGACTTGAGTCATTAGGCTGTTTTATAAAATGTGTTCTTTATTTTTATTTTTCCATTGGTAACCTCAATATTTTTTTTTGTTTTTATTGCTCAAAAATGCAGCATTTTCCCATCAATTTTCAGTGTTTGCTGTAGCAGATGCAATTCTTTCGCATTTCTTGACGCTTGAATTCTGGTTCGAGAAATTTCGAACGCTTGCATTTCTTTTCTTGGAGTTGTCCTCTGAACTAAAAAATGTGTTTATGATGGTTAATCTGTGTAGCGAAGGCTCAGGACAAAATCGTTTGTCCTGAGCGAAGGCTCAGGACAAACGCATCACTGGTGCGTACAGGCACATCAGCAAGCCGCTGTGCCTTCTATTGGCACGTTCATTTTTGTCAAATTAATGAAAATAAAATTTTGCCAACTTTACTGATAGGAACTATTGGGGTTGTTGGATGTTTATTATAAATATTGTTGTTCTTATTATTATTAATACACTCGTACCTTGATATAACTTATTGGGATATAACAAATTATTGGTTATAACGAAGTAAGTGACCAATAACTTTACCATAAATACAATGTGTGAAGAAGAAAACGCATCGTTGGCAAGCAACATCGCCACCGCGCTTGGGTACTGGGTTCTGGGCTTCTCTTGCTCGCCTCGTGCTGATCATCGCCGGCATCTGCTTGACCGTTGCTCTGTCCCGATCGTGTTTTCATCGTAGGGCCACCGTCGCAATGCATGCGAATAAACCCCTTTTCAATTGGTGGAGGGTGCTGACATTCCCCGTCCCTTGAACCTGGGTGCTGCCATTCGCCGTCGCCTAAACCTGGAGCTGCGCAACCGAACGCTACCTCCCATCATGGCCACCCCTGGCTCTTCCACTCCATCCTCCAGCAACCCCGGCGTTCTTCGCTTGCGAGAGCCGAAGGTCTTTAGCAGAGCTGATGAGACTGACGTGGAAGACTGGTTCACTAACTACGAACTGTTGAGCGCAAACAAGGGGGATGACGCAGACAAGTTGACTAACGTCATCTTTTATCTCGCTGATGTGGCCGAAATGTGGTATAACAACCACAAAAACGACATTACGACATGGTCCGTCTTCAAAACGTCGTTTGCCGTCGTTTTTGGCCGACCCGCTGTCCGCAACTCCCAAGCCGAACAATGCTTGCGGACTCGTGCACAGAAGCCAACGGAATCGTTCACCAGCTACATCGAAGACATTATTGGTCTCTGCAACCGTGGGAACACCACCATGCCCGAGTGGGAGAAGATTCAGCACATCCTCAAAGGGATAAATGACGGCACACTTCAGATGCTCCTGGCCCGTAATCCTGCCACCATTGCGGAACTTGTCACTTTGTGTCAAAGTTTCAATGAGTTGAGGAAGCAGCGCGCCCCGACTTGGCCATTTTTCTCACACGCCGCCTCGCTCTCCAGTCTTACTTCCGTTCCCGATCACTCACCAACCCTACAAGAGATTAAAGACTTTGTGCGTGAAGAAGTAGCTCGGCAACTGTCGTTGATTTCCTTCACGCAGCAGCCGCCGTCCTCTCGTCTGCCCTCACCACTCCGTGACGTTATTGCCGAAGAGGTAGCTCAGACTGTACCCGTTGCTGCCCATCATCAGCCTGTGCCCATGCCTGTTGCCCATGCGCTGCCTATGCAGCCCGTGGCCGCGCCTCTTACGTATGCCCAGGTGGTACGCAGCACACCCCGCCAGCAGCATTTGCCACCCATGTCTTCAGTTGCTCCCCACTCCGCCCCTTTTTCAACACCTTGGGCCGCACCGCGAGTCAGCAAATTCTGGCACACTCCTGACAATCGACCGATCTGCTACGCCTGCGGTACTCCAGGACACGTGGCACGATATTGTCGCCGTCGCTTCCAACCACTCCACGACGCTACTCGGCCGTTACCGTGTGACCCACAGCCCATGCACGTACCTGTTCCCTATCCCTCACCGCAGTATGGATAAACTAACCTTCCCGAGTCTCGGTCACCCCAGTCCTCACCTCAGACTCACTCTCCCCGCTGTCCATCTCCTCGCAGGCGATCACTGTCCCCAATGCGTCCTCGACCCGCTTCCTCCAACCGGGAAAACTGAACGCCGCAGTTCCAGAGGCAAGAACTGCGTCGTCCTTGAAATGCTCAAGTCCTCGCACTTCACCTGCTAACGTCGTCGCCATATCTGTCGATGGTGTTTCTACCTTTGCCCTCATCGACACAGGTACTGCTGTTTCTGTTATAGCCGCCCAGATCTGCCGCTCCCTACGCAAAGTGACCACGCCGCTCTCTGGACTATCGTTTCGTACGGCTAGCGCACAACCAGTTCGACCTCTCGGCACCTGTATGGCCCGCATATTCATCCAAGGCTTTATGTACGTTGTCGAGTTCATCGTCCTTTCGATGTGCTCGCATGACGTTATCCTCAAGTGGGACTTTCTGTCAAATCATCATGCCGTCATCGACTGCGCACGCACTTAAGTTCAATTTTCGCACCTGTGTGACGAACCTTTGCACGAAACCCTTGAGCGGTCGCCAAAACTCGTCGTGCGTGAGGACACTGAAATTCCGCCAGCCTCTCTTGCCGTTGTCCCTGTTTGCTGCGATGACCATAACGATGCTACGGTAATGTTTACACCTTCCGACATTTTCATGAGCCGCAGAGCCATTTCTTTGCCTGCCTTTCGCTACACTTGACGTCACTGCTGGCCGAAGCAATATTTTCATCCACAACCCCCTTTCTGCACCACTTACGCTACTTGCTGGCAAATGTCTCGGTCAAGTGGAGTACCTTGATTCTTCTTTATTCCTTAACATGCCAGACGAATCGTGCAGTAGCGCCTTGACCAAACTTCATGCCCTTTCCCCGCTGGAATGCTCGTCGAGTGACATCTTATCGAGTTCCATCGCCGACACCTCAAGTGCTCAAGAACGCACCGAGCTTCTTACTCTCCTCCAGCACTTGACACCGGTTCGCACCAGCCATTGAGTCAAAGACCGTACCGTGTCTCTGCTGCAGAACGTCACGTCATCAACGACCAGGTCAAAGAGATGCTACGCCGTCGCGTTATTCAACCATCGCACAGTCCTTGGGCATCTCCTGTCGTTCTAGTTCCAAAGAAGGATGGTTCGATTCGATTTTGCGTCGACTACCGGCGATTAAACAAGGTGAGGCGGAAAGACGTCTATCCATTACCGCGCATCGACGACGCCCTTGACAGCCTCCAAAGAGCCGAATTCTTCTTCTCCTTAGACTTACGATCTGGATACTGGCAGGTTCCTATGGCAGAAGCTGATCGCCAGAAAACTGCGTTCATTACACCAGATGGCCTGTATGAATTTAACGTAATGCCTTTTGGGCTTTGTAATGCTCCTGCCACGTTTGAACGACTCGTGGACAACACGCTGCTTCGACTGAAGTGCTCTGTGTGTCTATGCTACCTCGACGACATTGTCGTTTTCTCTCCCGATTTTCCTACACATCTGCTTTGGCTCCAGCTGGTTCTGACGTGTTTAACCAATGCTGGGCTCCAACTGAACCTTAAAAAGTGCCGCTTCGCCGCGCGAGAGCTGTTCATCTTAAGGCACATTGTGTCCAAGTAATGTGTTCTACCCGACCCTGCAAAACTGCAAGCAGTCGCCGAGTTCCCGAAACCTACTACACTGAAAGAATTACGCAGTTTCGTCGGTCTATGCTTGTACTTCGGCGCTTCGTTCGAAATTTTGCATCGATCATGTCGTCACTGACCAACCTCCTACGCGGCGACGCAGACCTTTCATCCTGGTCTCGTGACTGCGACATCGCATTTGCCACGCTCCGTAGTCTGCTAACATCGCCTCCCATTCTTCGGCATTTCGACCCAACAGCTGCAACGGAAGTTCACACAGACGCTAGCGGGGTTGGTCTTGGCGCTGTCCTCGCCCAACGCAAGCCGGACTACTCCGAATGTGTCATCGCTTATGCGAGTCGCACGCTCACTAAAGCTGAGGCCAATTACAGCGTCACTGAAAAGGAGTGCTTAGCACTAGTGTGGGCGCTTCGCAAGTTCCGCCCTTATTTGTACGGTCGCCCATTTGACCTGGTAACGGACCACTATGCACTTTGTTGGCTCGCCACATTGAAAGATCCTTCTGGCCGCCTAGCTCGGTGGGCACTGCAAATCCAGGAGTACGACATTCGCGTCATCTATCGCAGGGGACGCAAGCATTCTGATGCCGACGCCCTGTCCCGTTCGCCTTTACCTCCCGACTCGGCCTGTGGAACCACTGGTACCAACTCCGTGGCATCTTTCAACTTCGACTCCTTTGCCAGTGAACAACACACAAGGACCCGTGGATCGCTTCCCTTTTTGACTGTCTCTCTGGATCGTCAACCACTGTGGTATCACGATCTCTCCGATGTCAAGCTGCTCATTTCGCCATTCGTGATCGGCTGATACACCGACGCAACTACGCCCCTGAAGGTCGTATGTGGCTCTTGGTTGTCCCCCGCAGCTTGGGATCACAAGTATGCGCCTTCTTTCACGACGATCCCCAATGTGGCCATGCCGGAGTTTTCAAAACTTACGAACGCATTCGCCATCGCGTCTACTGGTGCGGAATGTATAATTTTGTTCGAAAATTCGTTATGGACTGCCCTGACTGTCAACGCCGCAAATCACCGCCTTTCCACTCGTCCGGTGCGCTTCAACCGCTTCTGCGTCCTGCCAAACCTTTCGATCGAATCGGAATTGATCTCTATGGTCCTCTACCGACAACATCCGATGAAAATCGGTGGATCATAGTTGCTGTGGACCATTTAACACCCATTTAACATGCTATGCTGAGACCGCCGCCCTTCCAAGTGCCACTGCGTGGGACGTAGCATCCTTCGTCCTTCATCGCTTCATACTACGACATGGCGCACCTCGAGAACTACTAAGTGACCGAGGTTGAGCTTTCCTATAAGAAGAAGTCGTCACAGCACTGCTTTCTAAATGCCATGTTGTTCATCGCAAGACCACGGCTTACCATCCGCAGACTATCGGGCTCACGGAGAGATTTAACCGCACCCTCGGTGATATGCTCGTGATGTATGTGGCATCTGATCATACTAACTGGGATCGCATTCTTCCATTCATCACGTTCGCATACAACACCGCGGCACAGTCTACCACTGGATTTTCGCCTTTCTTCTTTATGGACGCGAACCATCCCACACCATCGGCACTCTTCTTCCATACCGTCCTGACGCATTTGAATGCCCATCTGTGTTTGAAGCTGCCCGAAAAGCGGAAGAGTGCCGTGAACTCACACGCACCTTTACGCCACAAGAACAGCAGCGCCAAAAAGAAAACAACGCCGACTCTTCACGAAGCCACAGCTATTCCCCAAGATCACTTGTATGGCTGGCTGTTCCTTACGAAACCCCCGGCCTTTCCTCGAAACTCGTCCCGAAGTACGAGGGCCCATACCGCGTTTTGGAGCGAACCTCGCCGGTGAATTTTCTCATTGAGCCACTTTCTCTATCTGACGACATGCGCCGGCGTGGATGTGACCTCGTCCACATCATCCGCCTTAAGCCATATCATAGCCCTCTGCCTCCAGACTATTAGGTCGCCAGGACGGCCCTTTTTCGGTGGGGGAAAATTGTGAAGAAGAAAATGCATCGTTGGCAAGCAACATCGCCACCGCGCTTGGGTACTGGGTTCTGGGCTTCTCTCGCTCGCCTCGTGCTGATCATCGCTCAGTCCCGATCGTGTTTTCATCGCAGGGCCATCCTCGCAACACACGCCAATAAACTTCGTTTCAAATGTTATAAATAATCATTTATAACGACTATTCGAATATAGTAGAGTATTTTTGTGGCAGATGTGACTTTTTTATATTGATGTTTGAGTGTATATACAGTCATCCCGTGGAGGAACATTGCAGGGTTGGTATAATATTATTTATGACTGCTCTATTCTGTGCAGCTTGTGAGGTAAAAGGAGTTAGCTCCATGCCCAGTAATGATGCTGCCTTCTCAGCAACCAGTGGAACATATTGTGCCACAGCACATGGCAAGCACAGAGTGCCCATTTTAGCCGCAAACCGCCGTGCACAAACCCGAACTGCTCTTGACATTCTTGTACTCTCCGCCAACCATTTGCAGCATGTATTGTGTTCATATTACTTCATAATTTCTGCACTCTGAAACACTTACGATATAACTGTTTCACGTTGTGTTCTGCGTTACCGCTCCGGGGTTAGACACTTGGACTAATATGCTTTCTGTTGGGCTAAAGAAAGCAAGCACTGTGGAAGGTTGTTGCCGGCCATTTAAAAGGGTTAGCGAAGACTTCTGTGCATCTTCTCGGTGGCCGGGCTCTCATCCGTCATTTGGGTAAGGTCCCCCTTTTTTCCTGTCCTTGTTCTCTTCAGGAGCAAAAGATGACCATTCCAGAAGACCCGAGCCGTGACCCGAAGTTCAAGGAAAAAGACATCGATCTCATGAAGGCACAGAAGGAAGCTGTAAGCATACACAAAGTTATGCTTTTTGTATGCTGTTAATTAACTTAAGCTTTGCAAATTAGTTGATTAATGGAATTCATGGTGGCAAGAACTTTAGGAAACATGCATGGAAGAAAAGAAAATCACATCTTAGTCATTTTATCTATTAATTTTTTGGTGTAGCTGTTGCCTCTGTTAAAAAAGCCTCTGTTAAAAAAATGAAAATGCGTAGGACATAATTTTGCTCTACAACTTATTCTGCCACAATTTATTTTTCCATTATTTACAACTTAGTATTGCTATCGTGATGCTCCCTAGTACACAAGGTATGAGGCCCAATAATGCCATTCACTCATAAAAATCTGGGATAACTTGCAACTCAATGAATTGCAGAAAGGCTCTGAAGTATTAGCTGTCCATCTACATACAACTGAATTCCGAACGCATTTTTAACTATTATGGATGTTCCCTGATTTTTTGCTTTCCTGGACGATGCAATACTGAAAGACTGTATGTTTCTCTGCTTAAGTACACCTGGCATCTCTCATAATCGTACGGTTGTATTGGGACGTTAAACCCCAATAGTTATTATTATATTATTACTTGAGTGCCCCTAAAGAAATGTTGACAGGCATTTTAACAATGGTTGGCACAGCTTGCAATTAAATTATTCTGAAATATAATCTTTGGAAGATTTCTTGAATAGGAAGGTACTTATGTATTGGTAACTGATTTGAAATATATGTCGACTCTATTCATTCAAGGAAACGTACAAATTGTCTTGAACTGAAAGTCGTTCCCTGGAATCTTCACTCTGCTTTTATATGAACAATCTTAATTTTAGGATGCTATATAAGAGTTCGTCTAGGAGCACTCTTGTACGTAAGAAGTTTTATACTTTACGAAGTAAACAAAACATCTCGATGCAGTGTCCCTTGCAGCACACCACCTGCATGTTTTTTCGGATGAAGTTGAAATTTTTTGAAAAGTTCATCAAAAAATATTTACTGTCGTGTGTTCTTCAGTATCACTTCTATATTATGACCAACTAATATGCCCAAAGTGATGCTTTAGCTATTGCTTCGTTTTTTTCGTGTTTGTTAGTTTATGTACAGGCTCCCTGTTTTATGGTGTATTCGATTCCGAGCATCTAGCATTTTCATCTTGTCAAAAGATAGTTTAGAATTCTTTTTGAATACCACCCTTACTTATACTAAGACGAGTAATGTTTCACATTGCCGTGTTGTCTATTCTTAATTCAAGCCTTTGTCTCCGCCACAGGTTGTCGATATCGTGTCCTCTCATTTCAGGAACTGGCCGAACTTCGCAAGAGGCGCCAAGACGAGGAAAGAGCGAGGGAACTGCCGGATTTTGACTAGGCGTGGTCTTTGAATGAGCGAGAATTTCATATCGGAAAATATTTTATGCAATCATGTTTCTTGCATTCTCCCATCTGCACTACAGAGCAGCACGCCCATTTAGTCTTCGTTTGGTCGTCTGTACTAACTTCATTGGTGTTACAAATCCTGACCACGGCATTGGACGACTGAGAATGGTCACTCAAAATAACTTGCGATCCAGAGAGAAAAATCGCCGTTGACGTGTTCCAGTCATCACAGGTTGCCGATATCGACATTACTTAACAAGTCAAGAGGTGAGATGATCTGCACCAATGTACTGCTACTGCCATCGCGCACATTTGTTCACACACTGCTTTGTGGCATTCAACATTTTTATCATCATCATAGTCATCATCATCGTAATCATTGTCACCCTATTTTCTGTCAACTCCAAAACAAAGACCTCTTCAAGCGATTTATAATTTACCCCGTCTTGCGCGAGATTCTGCCATTTTATTCCTGCAAACTTGTCGATTTCATCGAACGTTATATCATTCCTTGCCGCATTTTTTATTCCCTGTTATGAACGGCTGCTTGAAATATGCAAAACTGCATAAAAAATGGTGGAGGGCTGTAGGTGTTCAGAAAGGCAATTTTTCTTGTTGTGTCAGAACATTTTGGCCGAGCGCGGCATGAAAATTACACGCGCCATTTATTGTGATTTGTGGCAACTATCCCCGAAATAAAACATGTGAAACCCGGTTCATTTTCAGATGCTGATAACAAACCTAATTCATCTGGTAACTTAAACAACATAATTAAACCTGAGTGCTCATTGCTATTGATAGCAGCATGCGAGCCAACGATACATACTCATTATGTGATATGGTACTACCATGTCCAAGTCGATAATGAAGGCTGGAAGGATTGAAATTAAATCACGATCACTGTAAAGTGAGGCCACCGTTGTAATAATAGCGATAACGCAGGCAGTCTTGCCGAAATCTAGTTACTACATATATTTTGTTTGCCAGTTTTTTATAAATTTCAGATCACAAAACATTTATTTATTTATTATATAGTAAATGCTTCGTTAGCAATTCCGGTACTTGCAGAGCTATACTAACGCTATATTAATGTACAGTTCCAATTTAGTGTGTCCATATAGACATGAATCTTTGCACAGTTTGTTTATTTACATTCCTCATACATTTCTACTAGAGGGGATGTGAAACTGCAATTTCTAACTTTCATAATTTCTTATTTTATTCTCTATTTCTAGTTAACATCTTTGTATTGTAAATAAACTGGAATTTTCATACACAAGTCTTTTGTAAGCGTCAAATACACGATTTTCCAAGGCAAAGTTGAAAGTAAAGAAAGAAAGACCTCTAGGAATGTAAAGTAGTATACGAAGTAGTATGCAATTAATATCAAACAAATCATCGTGAAATTCTACACAGCACAAAATTAAAAATATGAGCCTGGCTGCTTTGTTAAAGGCTACCGTGTTTACTCGCGTAATATGTGTATGGTCTAACACTGGCTGTTTACTTATAATGCTGCAATAAAATAATATATCTGCACTACTGTGCCTCTGGGTCACTTTGTAAAATTCTTTGCATACTTTTTTTTATTAAATGTATGTAAGGAGAGGTTGGTGCCAATGTGTGGCGCCGGCTACTCCTCTTCTCTTGCACAAAAGTCAACATCGCACATTCAGTAGCAAACACAAGGCTATACATATGTACATAGCACAACACTTACACAATGAGTTCACGTTCTTCCACACTAAGTGTCCACACCACACAGAAATGAGTCCACACTGCCTAGAACTGTGTCCGCACCACACTGAGTTTGTAAAAAACAAAACGAAAAAAATCCACATAAGTAATCACGCCAATTTAAGTGTTCACACAAGAACGTGAAAGTTCAATAAAACGTGTAAGGTGATCTTCTCGCTTAAATACTGACATGTTTTCAGAAAGGTTTTCCCAAAAATATCGTAGTGAAGCAGGAAAATACTGTTTTGAAACATACCGCGGTTAACATTTGTTTTTTGCTTAGTACTTCTGAGCTATTTCTGATTCCCCCAGAAAGTGAACGACTGCACGTGCTGCAGTGGCTTGTAGCTTTCCTTTTGGCCATGGACCCAAGATTTTTGCAATTGATGGAGGTCGCTTATCCAAAGAATTGGGGGGGGGGGGGGTTAGAAAAAGTGGGTAACGATTTAAAGTACTTGATACTCTACTATGGGAGAGCTTACAGCCGTCCCATTCGTGTGTTTAGAAAAACTGGTTAACGATTTAGAGCACTTGGTACTCTACTATGGGAGAGCTTAAAGCCGTCTTCTTTCGAGGTACGTCATGATTTTTACAATGCAGAAGAATATGCTCCACGTCTTCTTGAGCTTCTCCACATGAGCAGGTGGGACTGCCAGCTCTCCTTATTCTATACAGGAAAGCCTTCGTGTAGGCTGTACCAAGTCGAAGCCTATGGATGACTGTTTCTACCGATCGGCTAACCTTTAACGGAATATTCAATTCTATACCGGGATCAATGTTATACAACAGAAAGTTTTGCGCACCATTTTCGAACCAGGTTTCCTTAGACAGTTGACAGCTCATCTTATTTGGGCATCGCTCATCGATAGAGGTAGCAGTGATATATTATTTTCTTCATGTGCTGCACGTGCAATGTGATCAGCTATGTCGTTTCCTGTGATTCCACAGTGGCTTGGCACCCACTGGAACATTATAGTATGGTTCAAATCTTTTGCTATAGCGTACGTCCTCTGTATTTGATATGCGAGCTCACTAGCTTTGTTTCCCAAGCTGATTCCTTTTAAAGAAACTAATGAGGACTGTGAGTCGCTGATAACTACCCATCGAAGTGGACCTGGCTGTAGACATATGAAGCGTAAAGCACAGAGTATTGCATAGAGTTCTGCTGTTGTGGATGTTGTGAAATGGCTGAGTTTAAAAGCTTTTCTCGCTTGGTATGCAGGTACAAAGAATGCCGACGTAGAGCTTTGTTTCAGACATGATTTGTCGGTGTACACGTGAATATAGTCTTCATAGTTAGTATAAAGGTGTGTTAAAGTTAATTGCTTTATTACGATTATGGGCAGATCGTTCTTACTATTTATTCCCGGAATCGAAGTTGTAATATCTGGGATAGAGAGTCGCCATGGTGAGTGGGATGCACATGGAGGCCAGTATTCGTGCGAAGGCAGTAAACTCTTGAATTCTAGTATATTTTTATGCATTCTTGCAGCTGATCTCTCCTGAATAGCTCGGTATAGGGGATGATTAGCGTGTTGAGTCGCCAACCGAAGATAATGCCGGCAAGTTTCCATAAATCTCATAGCATGGAAAGTCGGTTGACGAGGCTCCGCAATTACTAAAGCACTGGCAGACGCTTGCGGTACACCAAGACATATACGAAGGCTTCTGGCCAACAATCTTTGAATCCTCTCCTCTAAGTTACGTGATATCCCATGTAAAACCGGGGCAGAGTAAGCTATTCTTTGTCGAATTATTGCTGAATGTACACGCAATAAAGAAGAACATGAACTACCCCATCTCACTCCGGTCAGTCGACGTAATATATTGATTAGGGAGTTGACTTTGTCCTCTAATTACTTTATCTGTGGTGCCCAAGACCGAAGTCTGTCTAAAATAACCTCTAAAAATTTGTGCTGCCGCACAAGTTGTAAGCGCTGAGAGTCTATCTGAAGTTTGAATTTCTTAAGGCATTTCCTTGTGAACGGAAGTACAGATGTTTTCTCATGGGAAAGAATCATGCCTCTGCTCTTAAAAAAAGCCATTGATTATTGTCAGCCCATCCTGAAGTTTTTGCTGAACTGCTTGAATGCTTGTGTCTGATGCCCAAATGCAAAGATCGTCTGCATATAAGGAATATTTCAAACTAGTAGGTAAGATATGGGATATTTCAGCCATAACGCAATTAAATAAAAATGGGCTTAGTACGCTATCCTGTGGGACTCCTTGACTAACTTCATGCTCTTTACTTTTACCGTCAGCCGTGTCAATGAAGATTTTCCTGTCTCCTAGAAATTCTGCAATCCATCTTAGTGTCCTGCCTACTATTCCCAACTATTCCCAACCGTGTAGTACATGAGCGTGGCTGGTTGTGTAAAATGCTCGCTTTATATCTAAAAATACTGCAACGACGATTCTTCCACAGCTCCTCTCATGGTCTACATAAGTTACAATGTCTAGAATGGCATCCATGGTGCAGTGGCATTTACGAAAGCCTGCCAAATTTTCTGGAAGCACGTTCGTACATTCCACCCACCACTGAAGTCTACCGTCTATCATCTTTTCCATAAGTTTACAAAGACAGCTAGTCAGGCTGACAGGACGGAAAGAATCTATGGATAAAGGCGTTTTTCCGGGTTGGAGAATTGGAACCACTCGTGCAATTTTCCAGGAGGGTGGAAGGTACTCTGTTGTCCATGCATTATTAAATATCTTCAACAAAGTATATCTGGCCACAGGACCCAGGTTTTTTAATACTGCATATGTTATCCCATCAGGACCAGCTGCTGTCCTGTGTCGGCACATTGCAAGAGCATTATTTAATTCTTGCAGTGAAAACAGATGATCTAGGTCATCATGATGTGTACTGAGAGAAAAAGCGATCAATGCTTTAATATCCCCAACAGACTTAATGTATTCAGGCGTGTGCCCGGCTGCACTAGGTCGTGTAATATGCTGACAAAATTCGTCCGCAACGGTTGTTTCCGGTACATTCTTCACTAAAGCTAAGGCTCTAAATGGTTGTTGATGTGTTACTGTCCCACTTAAAGAGCGTAGAACATTCCATAATTTTGACCCGGGTCTAAATGGCGTTAGCAAAGTGCAGAAATCCCGCCAGCGCTTTTTGCCCAGTCTATCCAGTTGTCGTCTCATGCGGTCATGCGTTCTTTGACAGTCGCGGTAATCTTCAAGTAGACCCGTGTGTCTGTATTTTCTTTCAGCTCTGCGGCGAATGGCCCTAAGTCTTTCGTACTCAGCGTCTACTCCAACGTAACCTTCAGGAATTTTAACGAACTTGGAACACTGATTTAATTTGTTTTCTATGAGTGAGACTAAGCTGCCAGTGTCAGTAACAGTATCTGCTTGATGTGATATGTGATAACGAAATGCTTGCCAGTTAGTTATCTTTGCTGAGGGCCTATATTTAGTAAAGCGTAGTTTCGGATGCTGTATTAGGATAGGTAAATGATCACTACCCCTTGTTTCAATGTCTGTTCGCCATGACGCCTCAGATGCAATATCATGTGAGCAGAGCGTGAGGTCTAGGCAACTCGAGTAATTGAAACCCCGTAGGAACATCACTGAACCGTCATTTAACAAGCATAATGAACTATTCTGAATTGCTTTTTGTAGGTCCTTTCCGCGACGATCGCAGTACGCACTTCCCCACATGACAGTGTGAGCATTGAAATCTCCGCAATATATCACAGCTTTCGTGTACGTCCGGAAAAGTGCTGTCAATGCAGAAAGCGAGATATTTGTGGAAGGCTGGAGATAAAGGCTGACTACTGTTATATTTACTCGACCAAATCTAATCTCACATGCTACATATTCTGGATAATCCGATGATGTAGCTTTCAACTGTACTGATGGCAGATCTTTTCTCACACATATCATCACTCTGCTTAGTCCTGTAGATCTAGAGGACATACACACAACGTATTTCGATAACCGAAAAGTGAAGTCTACCCCGGCCTCTGTAATACATAACACTGGAAAGGAGCTCTGAGCCACAAATTTTCGGAAGTCTGCACACTTAGGGCGAATATTATTCGCATTCCATTGGAAGATCGCGACATTTTGATAACAATTATTCATGTTTTGCCTGCGCAGTGACTGTTGTGGCGAATTGTAACACTACCTGCTCCATCGACAAGATGGCTTTGACCTCAGGAAGGTTGTTAGCCTGTGGGATCGCGGCTAGTATGGCTTTTAAAGCCGAGAATAACATTGGTATGACAATATCAGCTATCGACACAGAGGAGTTTTCTGGTTGCGTTACACTTACTGGATGCGATGTGCTAGTGCTTTCTCGGATCTTAACCACGTGGTACTGAGGGTCCTCCTGAGACTCTTGTCGAGCTTGCTGCTGGCTTGTTGATGTCCCCGCACTTTTCCCTTGCTTTCGTTGTCCTCTTGCAGCTTGCGCGTACGTCATTACATGGTCCTGGCGTTTAGGTGCTTGCGGTCGAGGAGGCCGTGCTGGGTTCATGGTGTTCATGTTGGGCTCAGGCGCGTCATGCTGTTGCGTGCGACCGTAGATGATGTCATGTTGATATTGAAGAGAAGCCGCCTTGTTCTGTGGGCATCCAGAGAACGACGCAGCGTGGGGCCCCTTGCAATTGGCACACTTAGATTGTGTTATCGATTTGCAGTCCTTGTGATGGTGGTCTTCGGCGCATATTTTGCAGCGCCTTGTTCTTCGGCAATTTTTTGCCAAATGTCCGAACCTCTGACAATTATAGCAGCGTCTTGCTGGGCCCAGATATTCCTCAACTGGATGGCTTGTAAATCCAAGGAATACTTTCTCTGGAAGAGGTCTGTCATATCTGAATTGTAAAATCACACTTCTCAGTGGGTGCGATGCTAGAGTGCCATCTTCTTGTCGTATGTAACGAGTCTGGCGTCTAGCCGACATCACTCCTGCCTCTCTTAAATATTCTGTAAGTTGTTCTTCTGTGTACTCTAGAGGCACATGTCTGATTTTGCCTACATTTCGCATTAAGACTCCAAAATGAATGGCTTCACCAGCAAGACGGCCACCTGCGCACAAGACAACAAGCTTTTGGCTGTAGCAAGAGAGCTCACGGTGACTGAGAAACTTCCATCTTTGTTCACTCGGAAAGAACGCACTTTCTCTTTAGCAAGTGCAAAAATTTCCGAGGCTACAACGTTTGGGTTTACTTTCCAGAAGGTTCTCGTTTCCTGTATTGGTCGGAACACCACAGGAATTCCCTCAAATCTACTCTTTTTATATGTCACTTGAGTGAAAAGATCTGCTTCCTCATCAGATTCAATATCTTCATCAATAAAGGAGTAGGTCGATGTCCCCTCCTGCATGTTGTCCGTATACTCTTCCACTCTCACCTTTTTCGCAAAGCTTCCTTTGTTCGACATGTCCTCATGTTTCCTCATCGCCTCCAAAACGAGTGTTGGTGCCCTGATGTAAGAAACCATGGTAGAACCAGGTTGCCTCACATGCTTGTCGGTTCCGAAGCCACGCTGTGGTAAAGGTGGCCCTTGCCACGCTTGCACATCCTGGCTGGTTCCGTCCGCCACGGTGACGGCGAAACGTCGGCGTTTAGTACCGTCACGCCACTTTCTGCTGTCAGGCGTCACAGCTGATGTTGTCCTCAACACTGTAAATAGCTTTTCACGGCCGGAAAAACCTAATTTGCAGGAGCACAGAAAGCAAAGAACATTCTTCTATCACTTCTATCACTTTGTGTACTACTACAGCTCTTCATTTTAGGGAAATACACTCCAACCTTTCTTCATGTCTCCGTATTATACCGTAAAAAAAAATGTTATGTACCTTCCGTGTTCTATAGGTGTCACATTTTAATTATTTGTTTATTTTTGAGTGGCCTTGTAGTAAGTGTAGAGCACTTTTGGAGGCTAGGCTGTTGTATGATGTCATCCTTGCATGGCGTAGTGCAGGCGAAACTGGATATAGCACAGCCATCTGTAGCATACTGAGCGCGCTCTTGTGCCAAAGAGCCTTCTTCCCCTCGTCATTCGTGCGCCTTGAAACGGTGTAAAGTGTGGGCAATTAGTACTATGGCTGGGGAAACGTGACAACACCAACCATGTAGAAAATTTGAAACAGGAAGCAGGCGATCAATAGAAAGAGAGAAAAGACAAGAAAAACAGGAAAACACATAAAGAAGAAAGAAAGAAGGAAACAAAGAGAACACTGAAAAAAAAAATGAACAAAGCTACACAGCTCCACGCTTTTTTTCGTATCTTGCACCACTAAGCTTCCTCAATTTTCTTTTTCTAGACCTGATGCTTCTTAGTTATGAACTTCACACATATGTTAGTTGACTGAGCTGCTGTAGTGTCACTGTGTTTCTACAGCAGTGTGATGGGTTTTAATTGCTGGCCACTGCAACAGAATTCTGCCTGGAGCTTAATAATAATGCTCCAAATATTATCTGCATGGCACGACCTCCAGCTGGACAATTTTAATGCAGAGACCTCAGCTGGGTCGTGTACCGCAATTCCTATGTTGCATTAAGGTCATTAGGCCAAACCAAACAGTAAGTTAAGACAATAATGCATCTTTATGTCTCTTAGTTATTTGATTCTACGTCTCCCATAGAATCAGCTTTGTGGCTGTATTATATTTATCACTTTGATGAAAGGAATTCGATGAATGAAGAGTTGGTAGTGGGGAAGCACTGGCGAAATTAAAAGAAATGTTTTTGTACCAGAAAATAGCTGCAGCAGATAATCACCGAATCTCCTGCGTGTGGGCCGTAGCTGCTTGTCAAGAGGCGGTGCACACATGCTAAATTCGTCAAGCAAAGACTTCGGGTACAAACGACAGCTGTATAGACTGTAGGCAGGTAGCTTGGAGGCGTTACCGGAGAATTATTTCGTACAGAATGACAACTCACGTGGCTGACCAGTGATTATTAATTTTATTTGTTTTTCACTTCTTGAAATGTAAAAATGTAAAGTGCATACTTCCACTGCGCTGCTGGCATACGGAACTCATATTCTGGCCTACTTCTCCTATATAGACGCAGTGTATACATTTTCGGTGGTGCAAAAGCTTTCTGGCTGCTTACATGTTTGTGAATGAGAAAATGATGCAGGAACTTGGAACAATGCTATGCACAACACAGATAGCAGAAATCTGCTGTGGTTGTGTACTGTATTGTCAGTCAAGCAGGCATATCGTATCGGGTGTGCTACGCACTAAATTCAGAAGTGGACTTGTTGAGGGCTAGAGCTGCTCCAACGTGAGCACCTCCCTGTCCACTCCCTGATTGTTATGAATATTTTATTTATTAATGGTACAGCGGAACTTAGATGCACCAAATTTCAAGAGAATGACAAAGAAGTTCTATAATTATTTAATACGACACATAAAATAGTATATCTATCCAATATACATTAGAGGTGATCTTGCAACAATAATTCGTTATAAATGGGTTCGATGTATACGCGGGTTCGGCTGTATGTGTTTTTGAATCAAATTCATCGAGAATAAAATTCACCGTAGAAGTCTTTTCGCACGCTGGCGATCGCTCGTGCTTTACATAATATGCGCACTTTAGAAACATCCCAGAAAATGCCTTAGAAATAAAGGCAAATGACACAAACTTAATGTACTGCTGGGTGGTTTCGGTTTCGGTTTCACGCTGCAGTCACGTTTATTGCAGTTGAGAGCAGCGACCGAGATGGCGAATGATTCTCGAGTGATCACATGGTCGAGTAAATCAGTACGAAAAACAGCGATTCATTGTAGCTGCAACAACAACGTCCTCATTGACATAAGCAGCGCAAACAACGGTACTCTCGAGTCGATCGGCTAACGAGTGGCGTGATGGCCAGCGAGCCAATCCGGTAAGAGCACAAATACGTCGAAAGAAAAGCAGCATAAAATCAGCAAAAAATGCTAAACAAACGAGAACCGCGCCTGCCGTGGATCTTTCTGCCGGCGTCGATGCTTAGGCAATGATCGCACGCTCGTTTGAGCGTTAATCGCGTCGATTGAAGGAAGAGAAGAAGCGTTGGTTTGTTCACCGGTCATGTCGTCGACGTAAAAGGTACGTAACTGGTATTTTATTCTCATTTGCGTAGGCACTCGGTCGATGCATGCCGTTTTTTCCTCGATGCCTGCGGCATTTCAGAAGTGTGCTGAAGTTTTCTCTCTCATCGGCGCGGTTTTTACCGAGATCTTGGTGATTGTATAGCTCCTTCAGCGATCGGCGTGTTCGGTAAAGTATCCTCGTATGTTTTTCGTGAAATTGCCCGTGTAATTACAACCAGCATTGCGTGTTGTTCCTGTGTTTGGACCGGCATGTGTTTTGCTGGAACACTCGCTTGATGCGTCGGGACGAATCCCTCTGCAAATTATCCGCGCTAACGTTTGACGAAATCGTGAAACTGTCCTTCCGGGCACACCTTTCTTCTTTTTCTTCTTTGTGACGCTGTGCCCTAGGAGACGGTCAGAGAGAAACACCTGTGCACGCTGCGATCAGCGCAACTGCTGTTGCTCGGTTCGGCTATCTGTTTACCGGTACATTCGCAGCTAGTACTGTTATACTGTCATTGTTACAGGCAGTGTAGTCTTTACAAGTTTGACGGAGTCATGTAAAGCCTTGAAAGTGTGTTTTAAGTGTTGTCTTAATTACGCTGAATAGATTGTTGAACGAGACGTACGTACAAATTGCGATTGTCGGGAATATACTGCATGTACGTGCGTTGTGCATTTACTGTACCAATAGCCATTTCGAAAATGTGAAATAATAGTTACAAACTCGCTCTCGTAGTTACACTTTTGTGATGGAGGCTCAGATATGTATTAATTTTTTTATATAGCATAATGTATCGGTGCTCGTGCATCTGTATAGTCTTTAATGAGAAGCTGAGCTTCGCATGTAACAACTTGGCGAGGACTCGTTGATTCATATTTAGAACCGAGGGTCAATGAATATTAATGACTCCAATAGCGCACAACCAAAGGAAGGGATGGTATGTAGGCCAAGTGCCTGACTGTTTACTGAAAGTTGATGTAAAAAAAAAAAAGGGTTTTTACACACTCTGTGATTAGATGTGTACACCATTTACAATCATCAAACAAAACAATGTTTGCTACGAAAAGTTTCTCTCTCATTCCGATAAATAAAAGAGGCAACATGGAAACAGTTTAAGGAAGATGACAGTTGTGTCAGCCCGCCCTCTCTAGATTTATCAGCGAGATAAACTTCTTGAAACTAAAATTATCACATTTGTTTAGTGACTCATGTCTGTCCTTAGATTGTATGAAAGGCCAGTTTCCAGTTGTTCGAGTCAACTTTCACAGGGCAGTCAGCGCTTGTCCTGCAGCATTTGCTCCTTTGGTCTCAAACAGGGTAAATGTGCTTCACCACGTTTTGTGACATTGAATGTGGCTTGTAATGCCTTACCCAATGCATCTCCTACCCCACTTGTTGCTTTTTGTAAATGGACATAAGCTTGATGTAATTCCTGGGTAAAGAGTATTGCTAGAATCTGTACTCAGCGAGACTACCTTACTTTAGCGTTCACCTATTTGCACGGTTAAAACAGGCTGATGGTTCACTTAAGAGATGGTCACATATTTAATTGCCTGTAGCTCCTCATGTCTGCATGACAGCCTCATTCGTAATCCATGCTTGGTTGGGAGTAGCAATTCAAAATGGTGTCATCCAACAAGGGAGTCGATGTTGCTTCTCACTGCGTAAATTTGTCCTTGGTAGGAACCTTCCAAACTTGTAAATTTCGTGCTCATCTCAATGCGGTTCTTTCTTGCATCTAATTTTTCTCGCACCGTGTGCGGAAACCACAGGAGCCTGCGAGGCCAGAGAGTCAAACCGTGAAGGAAGGGCAACTCATTTCGCCACCATGAGCACCGGCTACATCACGCTGAACGGCGAGCGGTTTGAGGACCTTCTCCATGATCGACGCACCATAGGAGACCTGTCGTGGTGCACACGAGAATGGAGCTGCCCCAAGTACCGCTTCTTTGGCAACCGGACACCACACCAGGTCAAGCAGGAGGTGCTGCGCAGCGCGCGTGTACAGAAGGCTATTACCGAGGTAATGCACTTCAATTGTTTGACTTTTGCAATTCGGCAGAGCATTAAAAAAATTGGGGGACACTTAAGCTTCGCCTTTACGAGTTGAGTGCGGATAGCGAAAGCCAGCCCTTAGGGCGCCCTTCAACTATAAAGTACATACTTATTAATATGTTTTGTTACACACAAACGCACGTGCACAAGTACGACGTATCTATAGTATTGGTACAGGTTTTCGACCTATTTAACAGCACTTTTATACAACTTATGAAAATATTGTAGTGATATAGTCACATGGTCCTTGTAATACAAGTGTCTGCGCGTAGGCGTGACACTTGTATTTGTGAATGGCCACATTCTGTCATCTGTCTTGCGTTAGTTATCTGGCAATCGTTCGATTTGTTCTTCTGGAAACTTCTTCCGGCCAACCGCAACCAGCATTGCCTTAAGGTCGGTGAAATGGCAACTGCAGTATTTCACTTCTTTAATAGCGTCGTGAGAATGGAAAGCTAAATCTATGCAATTGTTGTGGCTTGTTCAAATGGCATTTCCTTGAAGAGGCATAAAGAGTCTCACAATGCCTCACAGATGGCAGCACATTATCTAGCATTTGCTGTTTGCTCAATCAATGCCTCTGGAAAGGCATGATATGTTTTCTGCTAGATGGACATAGTTGTCCAATTTTAGAGCTGTTTGAAAGTTCCTGTGTTTTTAGCGGCGATGGCTGCATTATCCCGGCCTTTTTCGACGTAGTTTGATGGCCTCCCAAATGCTCCTACAAATCGCCGAATGGGCTCGTTTTCGTCGTGACACCTGTTGAACAAGGTGTGTTAAGGAGACTCCTACCACTACATGGCATTTGTGTAGTGTTTTTTCCAGAAGCAGCTGCAAGTAACATCATGGCTCTGTGGTAGTACACCTGCTCGCCGCACGAACGGCTTGGGTTCGATCTTCGAAGGGGCCCAAAATTTTATCTTTTATTTTATTTGCTTCTTTCTTGATTTTTCGCTCACAACCAACGGTGCTGACGCCGACGGCGGAATTTCTGCGACACGTGCTGTAACGCTATCGCGTTAGAAACTTTGTAGTAATGATCGCATTCATCCCTTCTCTGACACCTTATGTTGCAAGGACTATACCCGCTCCATGGTTCCCTCGTATTTTTTTTTTAATGGTCTTTTAAACTTTATGCTTTATTGAGGTTGTTTTCAATACAGTTCAAGTAAGTTCATAGCACTGATTAGACCCATAGGATAATAGGGGGTCTAATGGAAGAAAGTATATTAGCACAATAACAATTTGTATAAAAAAAATCACGACATCAAAGTGAACTCTTGTCCATGAAAGAAAACAATAATATATAAAAGAGTGCATTAGGATTTAAGGTGACACATATGAATGATCATACACAAATGCAATTATAATAACATTGTTTCACTGTGTTCATCAATAGATAAGCAAACAAGTAGAGGCAAAACATGAAACTATGCGTAAGGTTTTGTACATGGTCATTTATTATTGCTATACATAGAGCAAACCTTTGACCTTAGCTGTCATAGCAAAGAGAACAAAGTGTACCAAAGCTTTATTTTTTTTAAAGCTAATACTTAGCGAGTATATTGCTTATGCTTTAGTATATAAAGAAAAACCATACCGGGACCCACCACGGCTGTCTAGTGGTAATGGTGACCTAAGGTTGCAAGATCAAATCCCAGTTATGCCGACTGTATTTCGATAGAGGTGCAGTGCTAGAGGCCTGCATATTTATATTAGGCTCACATTAAAGAACTCCGGGCGGTCTAAATTTTTGGAACCCGCCACTACAATGTCTCTCATAATCATATGTGCATTGCTGCCTATGTTTGACATGATGGTTATTATGTCAGATTACATATGTATAATGACACATTGCTACTTCATGTAAATAATGATTGAATTGTGTCAGACCTGTACCTCACCCCTGTAATGGCCCTGTTGACCAGCAGTACCTGGAAATAAAATGAGTACAGTCGACTCTTATTAATTCAAACTCGAAGGGATTTCGGAGTTTTGTTTAATATGTCAAGAAGTTTGAATAATCAGAAGTTCTCAGGCATATGGCTCTCTGCAAGTTGACACATTGATTTTATCAATTAGAATTTTTTAAGTGTTTTTAAATGATAACTGCACCCAGTAAACAGAAAGCAGAGGTCTAAGGTTTTCAAGTTTATTGGTCATTTATTACTGATCGGACCTTTTAAAGAAATCATGAATTGCTTACTGCTTCTTTGCTATATGTGCCTTCAGCACAAAGCTCTCGCTATTAGTTCGAGAAGCATCACAGTTTACCATGTGTGTGCTCCATTTATAACATCTGCTTTATAACATCTGTTTGATTATCATCAAACTATTATGAGCATTTCACATATGCTTCCTGTCGAGCTTAGTGTTAATGGAATTGAAAAACTATTGAAGGACGTTGATGAGAGTAAATCTAGTGGTCCAGATGGAATTTCTCCGCGTGTACTCAAGCGTTGTGCGGGGCCAATTTCTATGTATCTTTATACAATTTTTGAAAGATCTTTAGCGACAGGCACCTTACCACATGACTGGAAAATCGCGCACGTGGTACCGATACATAAAGGTGGGTCCAAAAAAGACGTTGGTAATTATAGACCAATATCGCTTACGTCTATCCCGTGTAAAATCCTCGAACATATTTATACAAAGAAATATTAACTCATTTAAACAAGCATAAGGTACTAATCAACGAGCAGCATGGATTTCGCAGAGGGCTGTCTTGCACAACACAATTAGTCGAATTTTATCATGACGTAATATCGGGGGTAGATACTGTGGGACAGGTTGACGGTGTGTTCTTGGATTTTCGGAAAGCGTTTGACACGGTGTCACATTCACTCTTACTGTTTAAACTTACCACCCTGAACATTGATAAGACTGTCTTTAAATGGATCGAATGTTACCTTTCCCAAAGAACACAAACCGTAGTACTGAATGGAAAATGCTCCGAGTACACCGATGTTACCTCAGGGGTCCCACAGGGCTCCGTCCTGGGTCCGCTATTGTTTTTAATTTATGTTAATGATATCTCTGCAGGAATTTCATCTTCTATACGGTTGTTTGCGGATGACTGTGTTGTGTACAGAAAAATTTTTGATCACAATGATGTATTAGAACTTCAGAAAGACTTATCGCTCATTTATAGCTGGTGTACCAAATGGAAAATGAATTTGAATATAACAAAGTGTGTACATATTTCATTTACCAAAAAGATGAAACCATTTCAGTCACAGTACCATCTGAACAATGTACAGTTGAAACAAGAGAGTACATATAAGTACCTAGGTATAATACTATCATCTGAATGTTCATGGAGGCCTCAGGTTGACACTCTCATAGCCAAAGCTGGTAAGGCTTTAAATTTCATTCAAAGAAACCTGCGATGTTCGCATGTGAATTTAAAACGTATGGCATACACTACTTGTATCAGGCCTATCTTAGAATACGGTTGTGTCGTGTGGGACCCCGCCGAGGTAACCTTCATTGCTGCTCTGGAACAAATACAAAATCGTGCTGCCAGGTTCGTCTTGGGACGGTACGGAAGGGGGGAGAGCTGCACTGCAATGAAGGCTGAGCTAGGATGGGAGTGTCTTTCTGACCGCCGCCAGAAGCAGAAATTAAAATTTCTTTACTGCATTTACTACAATAAAACTGGAATTAATAGAGAAATATACCTACACAACCCTCATTACACTTCAAAACGTTTTGATCATAGTTGCAAAATTCGGGAATACCCAGCTAAAACGAACATGTATGCCAATTCATTTTTTCCTAGAACGATTAAACAGTGGAACAGGCTAACTGAAATGCAAGTACATAGTGGGAACGAAGATATATTTTATTCACTGCTGTAAACCCATGCTGTAACCTAACGAAGATATATTATGTGTGAACAAAATTCTGCTATGTGTGTGAACGAAAATGTATTTCAGTTATTTATGTATGAACAAAGTTGTATTGTGTCGGTGAACGGAGATGTACGTCATTTATTGATGTAACCCCCCTGCTATAACGCCTTCGGGTGCTGCGGGGTATCTGATGAATAAAGAAAAAAAAAAAAATCTGTTTACTAGCAAAGCCTTTTTGCTTGAAAGCCTGAGCCGCTTATTTTTCATTTTTAGACTGTTAGGATTACATAAGCACACAAAGTTTTAAATAATGGTAGGAAAGCAGCTGATATTTTCCGATGTGGAACTGCAAAAAGTATGAATTAATCAAATTATGGAGTTTGATATAATGGGCTTTTAAATACATTGAAAGAATAGAGGGCCAACTGAAAAATTCGATTTTGTTTGAAAATAAGTAAAAGTATGAATTATCAGAGTTTAAACTATTGCGAGTCTACTGCATCACGATTCTGGCATGCAACGCCCTCGGTCATTGTTACACAAGTTACAATACTTACAGACATTACATATTCCCTCCCCGTAGAGGGCCTAAATCGTGATAATAACCCGAAGAACTTGCAATACTGATGCGCCTAGTGTGTTTTTACACAATCATCAAAACCATTTTGATTCTTTGTTTGCATATACATGCCTTTCGTTCTTTTCGAAACGCTGCTGGCTCTGATTGATTATCTATTGCTTGCTCAGTGCCGACACATTTCACGTGGCGAGACTAACAATAGTAATTGAATAAAGTCCATTTTTGTCATTTTGCTTGGTGCTCGTGTTCACCATGTTAAAGAAACCCAGGTGGTCGAAATTTCTGGAGCTCTTCGCTACGCCATCTCTCATAAACATATTGTGGTTTCGAGACGTGACAATCCAGATATTATGGATAATATTACATTACTCTTGTTTACCAACCAGCCCCAATTGCTAATCTTTTTATGAGGAGGTAAATGAATAGCATATTTTGCATTACCTGCCTGTGACACCTTTGCATGCACTTCTGTGTTTTCTTGATGCAAAAAAAGACAGGTGGTGTGACAGCCTGGGTTGAATTTCTGAATAATGAAAGCATTTCGCAAGTGTGATGTGTCCTTCTTCCCTAAGTTGCACAAGTTCACTTTATGTGGCACAAGAGAGTAAGAATATGGCAGTTTACAATGTGAGTATGAGTAACAGCATGTTCATTTTAAATCATTTTCGTGTTATTTTTCAATTACAATCACTTTGACGAAGTGCAGGTGTCTATTACCATTTCGTGTGTCTAGCAGGGCTGGCACACCTGAGCACGTGCCCCCCCCCCCCCCCTTCCACTTCCGAAATTTTAATGTGATAGCGTTGGAGAGTTCGTGTCGCAGAAATCCCGCCGTCGGCGTGGGCCCCGTTGCTTTGCGAGCGAAAAATCGCCGTGAGCGACAAACGAAGTTACATAGATCGTCGCAGGAGGTCGCTACTTGTCCACGCGTGTGCGCGCGATCACACTGAAGAAACTGCGCATTCAAAGAGAAAAAAAAGTGCCCAAGGTCAGGAGGTGCGGGTAACGTACTTTCTTTGCCCCTTCCACCCCTCCCTGCTTAGCTTCCAGCGCTTTCGTCGGGACGAGAGAAGAGATAATGCAATTACAGCATGCGACAAACCTTTGTAACTCTGCTCGCACTGGACGGATTCTTAAAATTTTTGCGCTGTGGAATTTGCGAGGCAATAAGCTCTTCTAGTGAATTCATTCCATGATTACTTGAAGAAGTGTCTCGGGGCCCCTTTAACGCATTTTGTTCGACAGGTGTCACGACGAAAACGAGCCCATTGGGCGATCTGTAGGCGCATTTGGGAGGCCTCAAACTACGTCGAAAAAGACCGGGATAGTGCAGCCATTGCCGCTAAAAACACACAGGAACTTTCAAACAGCTCTAAATCTGGACAACTGTGTCTATCTAGCAAAAAACATATGTCTTTCCAGAGGCCTTGATTAAGCAAACACTAGATAATGTGCTGCTATCTGTGAGGCATTGTGAGACTCTTTATGACCTCCGAGATGGCAAGCGCGCGGCGTGTATCTTGGAAGCCATGAGACTCTTGCTTTAGATCAAAAACCTGTATGTACAAATTGCGCGCTCTGGTACAATGTACTACGTGCGTGCGTGTGTGCGTGTGTGTGTGTGTGTGTGTGCGTATGTGTGTGTGTATGTAACAAAACATATTAATAAGTATGCACTTAGCGGTTGAAGGGTGCACTAGGGGCCGGATTACGCTATCACGTTCAACTCTTAAAGGCAAAGCTTAAGAGTCCCTTATTTCTTTTTTCGACATTTCATAAAGAGCGAAAAATGGCCATTTAAAGGGGGTGCGCCTCCCGAAATCAAGATGGTGCCCCCCTCCTCCCCCCCCAAAAATTTGTGGCTACGTGCCTGGTGTCTAGTACCATGCAAGGACAAGTTTTTCGTCAACCAAAGAGTGTGGATTTTATTCTAGCTTCACGCAAATTTAGCCTTTCATAGCCCTTCCGTCACATTGTGAAATTCGGAAGATCTGGGTCGCCGTGTTTAGTGCAAAAATAAGGAAGGAAATTTTGAGGGCTAACTTTTTTTTTGTTTGAGGCAACCTGATTGAAAACCAGCTCATAATGAAGCCGAGGAAGATAAAGTTAACCTTAATTACACTATTTCTAAGTGTATTGTGATACAAAAGTGCAGGTGTGTCACAAGCATTTTTGATCTATCCTCATCGGAGTTCATTTTCTTGACTTCAATTGACCTTTATGCGCAATACACGATGGCGAGCCAATTGTGATTGAAGAATTCGGTTTCGATTAGGTTTCGGTTAAGACCAGACCATCCCGTGCGACACCTGTATATGTAAAATTCCGAGCAAGCGACCCCTCCCAACACGCACACACAGTGTAAGATAACCCGGCATGATTTGGAGGGCTCAGTCATAGATCAAAATTCAACGTGGTAGCAGAAGAGCCACTAAATATAAAGGATGCACATTCGTGCTTCTAATTAAATGCTTTATTAAATATGCATGTATTTACTGCCTTCATTTACTCGCATCAGGTGAATAAGAACAGCAAATCAAACAGTCAAGACGCTGGGAGGGGAAGTGAAGGGGGCGCATATTTGAGATCTCGCGGGAAAAGGGGGGGGGGGAGGCTTGCTCAGAATTTTACGCTTGTGCTATGTTTTCTCTCGCTCAAATGTGTACGACCGTGCGGTCCTCGTCCTTGCAGGTGAGCGCCGAGCAGAAGCGACCCGTCGCGGAAGTGTCGGAGGAGGTGCGCCGCATTCTCGAGCAGATGGGGCACAACATGCGTATGGGCAACATTCGTTTCCTCGGCTACATGTTCAGCAAGTCATACAAGAGCATGTACCGGGCCATCTACGTCCACACCGAGGGCATGGAGCGGGTACGAAGGGAATGGGGGGTACTGATCTAATAGTGTCCAGCCAAAAGACGAAGTTTCTCTCTGGTGGCCCTAATAACAACTTCTTTGTCATGTCGGCCGACCTCGACCCATTCCTGCAAAGCCTCGCGATTCGATGGCAGAGCCTACCCCCTCGTTTGTCTTTTACCAAGCTTCTCTTCTTTTGTCACCGATGAGGCTGCTTTTATAATTAATCAGTTGGTCATCTGTCATCTGCGCTACATTGTTAACCCTTTGAAAATACAATATTTAAAAAAAGAACTTACTGATGGTGAAATCACTTTATTGTAGATTTTGAGTGCACACGATCTGTAAATTTGGGGGGAAAAATGTAAAAAGAGCCTATAAACAGCATTTTGTTGTCAACATTATACTCAGAACTGCAAAACGTTCTGTAGTACTTAGAAGTGTGGTGTTCCTTTAAACTCGGGTCCACACACAGTGTCTTGGTGCAGTTTGCACAAATACGAAAACAACAGCACAATTATGGTCAAAAGAGTCGCTACTGTCATTGTCAAGAGAATGGGCAAGGGCGCTTGGCCATATCACTGGCTTGTCGCACATCTGAAGAACTCGGAAGGAAGCTTGGCGAACAAGGAAAGCGAGAATATCTTGTGAGCGTGGGCGATAAACAAGTAAATAGGAGTGACAACATAGATGAAAATAAACTTTTGGCGCTCCTGCGAGCAACTGCTGATAAAGATAAAAACTGAGTTTTGCACGCCTACGCTTCGGTCGCGTCGGGAAACCAAGACTGCCAAGCAGCGTTTTCTCAGTCGCTGAGGCTAGAAATCAGTTCTGTTTATCTCCGCAACAGAGTATCACAATCAAACTTTGTTCTTCTTGTCAAATCTTAGGAGGTGGCAGCGTCTCCCCAGAGAGCATGATTTGTCACTATGGCTTGAAATTTTTAACGTAGAGGTGAAACCACATCCATACAGGAAATGCATTGCGCGACGGAAAACTGCCCCTGTACATGCACAGCAAAAGCTCTCAAAAGGTTAACCATGTTCTCTCTCTCTCTCTAATTGTTTGTTCTCTAATCGACACTTTTTTGTCCGTTGAAGTGATACGAAACAATAATTTTGCGGCCATTGTTTTGCAGTAGGATAACAGCCTAACTATGAAAATGATGTGTACAGCTAAGTGATTAAAAAAGGGGGGGGGGGACGAGAAACGTCTTTTTTCAAGGCCTTTTGCTTGTTCCTAGCGCTTTAGTGGCTGCCGGTAGAAGCTGCGAAGACAACGTCGTGACACCCCACACTCGCGCGGACACAGTAGCCACGAGTGCTGCGGTGCCTGTTCATTGCTGTCGGCACTGCTCGCTCGCAATCGCGGTATGTCTTGAATGTCGGGGGAACTTATCTCTTAGTATGGTGCATGTTTTTCTGCCATCAGTTTACGGTTTTAAGGCGTTCTTTGTGGTGAAATCCCTAGCCATTGCTGCTCTGACCGTTTTCGTAACAATATCGTCAGGCTTAACACACTGTTGTGTACATTTCCTCTAGATTGCAAGCAGTACATTTGATACATGCTGCTCAGCCATCAGGCCGACATAATCATATAGTGGTTTTGGGACGTTAAACACTACATATCAATCAATCAAGCCATCAGGCCAAACCTGGACACATTTAAAAGTTGACTTCATTGCTAACTCGGAGCACTTTGTCACTTCAGTTATCTGTGTCTGATATATATATATAAAAAAAGCGAAAGCATGTGTCAGTAGTGTCATCTAGCTCTAGCGCGGGCAAAAAAGGCTTGCTTTCACATATTCCGTGTCCTCTGTCAAGGCGAAAGTAAACCGAATGTGACTAATTTAACCTGTAAATGGCTTGTAGCAGCATTGATGTACGAGTAGGCACTATATGCACAGAGCTATGAAACAACTCAGAAATTCCACACATCTCATCACTTAAAGAACGAACTGCCCAGTGGTTGCACGCCAACTACATAGGTGCTCACAAAATGAGGAACTATGATGCCTTGACTAAGCCGAAATAGGTGCCTTTCTGTTTCGACGAAGCAGATGAGACAATGAATATAACATCCTTCTAAACATTAATTTGTCTTCTCCTCTCGCTGCACGTTGGACCACATTGGTGATCTGGACTGCCCATGCCTTCTGCTCTTCTTATTCACTTGGAACGGGAGGCTCACTACTGTAATTTCGTGTCAAGTGTAAATCGTTTGCATTGTGAAAGGTGAATTTATCGCTGTTGGAGGGAGACCGCGACACGAATGCGTACTGACTGTGCAGCTATGTGACGGCAAGCGCGCTTCGAAAGGCTGAGGTTTGGCCGACCAGCCGGCTGTTGAGTGGGGGTGTGATGATGTCGTGGCTTCCGACCCACATAGCCTGAGCGGCTTGGTGCACGCTCACAAAATATAGAAAATAAGACCAGCCACTGAGGAGTTCATTGAAGTTATGACTTTTTTTTCAGTGTGATCGTTCACAAAGAACCTGTTTTCATCATTTTAGCGAAATTTTCAGATTTTGGTTCAGTATCTCTATAACCCTTTCACTGCTGGGTTTCCTCGGCATTGCTGGATGCTTGATGCCCATTTTTTTTTTTGTGCTCATTATTTGGGAATTTTTCATTGGCAGTGCAGTAGGAGGCTGTCAAAGACATGTAACCAGTTTATACAGGATTATCTAATCAAAATAAAGGTAGCACTCATTACAAGCAATGAATTGAGGAAAATAGTTATTTTTAATAAGTAACTACCCACCGAGTCAGAGTTGCTGAGACACTAATGGTCCATTTTATTCACAGTCTGAATTAGTCTAGAGCTCCTTAATTGCTTCTGTCAAGCAGCAGATGCACATGGCACACTGAATCTGCATGGCTGTGCTGCTGAGATGCTAGCAAAGAGACGCGAGCTGATGCGCAAGACTGCGCTCCTTTTGTTTTCCGAAAATTTCACTAGCTGCAAGTTATATTTGCTTATACGTTCTTCTATGGGCTTCGGGACACACCCGCATTATTTTTCTTACAACAGTTGTCTCTCAAGTGACATGGAGTAATTTAAAAAGGCAAAACGAGTATACTCGAATCAATATGATTTTACCAGATTTATTTCAAGATTGGTAGTGACAGGGTTAAAGAGGCCCAGTGAGGTCTTTAGAACATGATAAGAAAATGCTGCCTGTTTGTAATTTGGACTCCTTTTAACTTGTGAGCCAGATATTGTTGCGCTGCGCATTTCAGGGAAATTTTAATTTCGTCTAGAGACAGCTGAAAATCTCTTGCTCTCTCTACAACAATACCTTTGTCGACTACGCAGCAGGTGGGACCTAGTGGGCGTGATGTGTTTTGGCTCATTTCACGAGTGGCGAACCTGTCGATGATCTTTGAAGCCATGTAGATTCAGCTGCCACTCACTGAGTGCAGTCACATGCCACCTGTGATCACATTTTAGCTAGAAGAGGTGGCAAGTGCACTCAGAGAGAGAGAGAGAGAGAGAGAGAGAGAGAGAGAGAGAGAGAAAACAAGAAATAGCTTAAGGCAACGATTCACTTTAGGGCAGTGTGTTGCCCTCCTACCATCGTCCCCCTTCTTCTGTAGCTTTTGTACATCCTAAGTAGAATAGGATGCTGTTAGTTTGACTCCGGCTTATTTGATCTTGACCACAGATCAGTGCCTGTTACTGTATGGCAAAACATTTATTGAGTTCGTAAATTTGGCACTTACTGGACACTCGGGTCACGAGCGATCAGGAAATGTGTGCTTGACCCTAACGATGACCCTCTTCGTGGCAGCATCTGGCCTTGTTCGTGCATAGGGGATGGTGAATGTGCGAAACACGTGTGAATTGTGGCCAGAAATGCCAGTTTTCAAGGTGTCCTAAGAAGAGCTCAGTCATAAATGGTTGCTTATAGTTAATGATGATTATTCAATCTTAGTGTGCACATTTTCTTCAAAGATGATTCCAAGGTAGTCAGAGTAACCGACTTTACGTCTCCGAGTTTTAACAGCAGAACCGAGTCGGCTTTCCGTTGTGCCGCGTGGTGTAAACAAAAACTCTGGTGGGTGCAGACCACTGGAATCGGGCGAGCCACACAACCGAATACAAACAAGTACCATACACTCAAACCTCAAAATAACAGAGTCGGCTCTATCGCAAAAACACTTCGTTACATTCGAATATTTCTTATAAATGTATATTCTTAACACTTTCTACTACAAAAGTATTCTCCACTCACTTCATTATTACTGTTTGATTCATTATATACAGGTTCGTTATATTGAAGTTTGAGTGTATATGCAGCAGGAACCGTATGCAATAGGAACCATATAAATTCTTTGCTATGGACTAAAAAAAAGATTGAAAAAAGAGAAAGCGTGTCATAGCCATTTTTAGTACAGTTTACCAAGGGTGTGCTGTTTGCATTGGCACAGCTTTGGACCAACTCCATCCAACCATCATTTCAGAGTTATCACTTCTGCTTCGTCTTGCCATCTTCACGCCGGCTTTGCGTTATTTGGAGTTCATGTCGTGCGAAGAAAATTGTGATATTACGTTTTCAGAGTTTGTAGTGCTCCATGTACATGCTTTTTTACGCAGTACCGAAAAGCTGCTGCTGAAAATCCGGTGCTGCTGCTGCCAACGCACCGCAGTTACAACGATTTCCTGCTCATGTCTTACGTGTGCTTCTATTACAACGTACCGCTCCCCGTCATAGCAGCAGGAATGGGTGAGTACCCATTGAGTTATGCCCTAACTTGCATGTATGTTGTATAATAACGAGTTGTGTTAGTTGTTTGCTTTATATTGTCTCCATTTTATGGTTCTGTTTTACCTAAAAAGTTCTATGCGTCATTCTTGACTCTAATCTCACTATGCAACAACTCCACCAGGAGTTAGCATTATTGTAAAATAAATAAATAAAATAAATGAAAATAATGCACATGCAGTTTTTGGCAAGCTCAACATGAATCTCTCCTCTGCGCATTCTAAATCAATTTGATTGACGCCAGTGCCCCATAGCTTTGGGGTCTGTTGCCGAGATGTTACCCGTGCATGCCGACAAACTGTCGAAGTGTACAGAGGTATTATCTCGGCAGCAGCTTCTAGCACTTCGTGGTTGAAATTAGTCAAACTAGTACAGGCCACGCATCAGAGCGTTCGTGTTGAGCTTGCTGACGACTCTGCGATCGGTGTCAAATGAAACCTTAATGGTGGCAACCCTTAGAAATGGTGTAGTGTGCGCTGTTCAGTCATCACAATGGACTTGTGCAGTTCTCCAAAACCGGAAAGCTGGCCGGCTGTCAGTGGGGATGACTGCACGGCACACTGTACCATTTGTAATGCTAGCCGCTGTTTGTGTTTCACTTGATGCCGATAGTACAGTGAAATCTTGTTGATGTGATCTTTGTAGAAACAGAAATATTATTTATCATCCAAAATGGTATTCTTCAAAACGAGCTTCAACGCAGTTTGAGAATTGGTCTACGCTTTCACTGACTCGTCAAACGCGCATGTGCCGTGTAGTGTTACGGGTGGGGATTTCCCTGTGCGGCGGCTGTCAACAAAATCTGCATAGCTTCAGGCATGTAAGGTGTTCTTTGCAGTTCTTCGGAATGTTGTTCGGGCTAGGGCGCTGGAATTTGAAGACTATGAGTTTTAGAAATAGTGCCCGTAAAAGCCCGCCTTTATGTTCACATTATCCAGTGTCGGGTGAACTTTTGCTTATGTTAATCGTACGAAAAGATATTGCTCATATGGCACGTTGGTGAGAAAGAAAGAGAAAGTGTATCGTCCTGAAAAAGGTTTGATTCACAATGGTATCGACGTGATTCCTGTCTCTTGAGCATAGTTTTTGAAAAGATGTTGCATAACTGTAGACATTACGAGGTGCCCAGAGTTCCTGTGCGTGAACTCTTGTGTGCATGCATTGAGGTGGCAACTGTTATAAGCAGATTGCTTTACTTTATTAATTCAAGAAAAATCGTTTTTCTTTTTGAGCCTGAACAATCAACTTTCCATGTTTGCAGACTTTCTGGGCATGCCAGCCGTGACCATGCTGCTTCGCAACGGCGGTGCCTTCTTCATCCGGCGCTCGTTCGGCACCGACCAACTGTACTGGGAGGTGTTTCGCCAGTACATCCACTCCCTCATTGCCGGCTCAGAGCACGCCCTCGAGTTCTTTGTCGAGGGAACACGCAGCCGCACGGCCAAGTCACTCTGTCCAAAAATCGGTGGGCGACTTTAAATACTGTTCTCTCATACAAAGTAGTTGGCAGGGCTGCTGCCATTACTGAAAAAGAGAATCAATGTCAAGGCAGCGCCTTCCTAGATTTTTTTTTATGTGAGCCAGGGAAACACTGCCATCAACCGATCGTACGCTCGTCCATCACCACATAGCGAGTGAGTTTGATGCCTGCATGCAGACTGCAGCAGAGGCTGTTCATCTTCAACTGCTTCTTCCATGTTTTAGGTTTGCAACATTACACACGCTTTGCCCAAACTCGAAACAAAGCCTCTGCTGTGGATGAAATTGTGGTTGCTAAAGACACAATGTTACGTCCACACAGTCTGATGGCACATGTGCAGCCTACGTTTTAGAGTGGAAACAACTGCCGAGTACCGCACCTGCCACTGAATTAACTTGACTCACTAATACGCAATAATGGATGGCAATTACACTGTTGTGAAGATACGCGGCGAAAAACGAAACTACTGCTTGTTGCAGCCTTGGCCCAAGTCGCTATTAACATGATCATAGATAGAGCCCATGCAGTTCACGTCCGCAGTGTAAAATTGAAAATGAAACAAGTTTGTAGCAATTGCTGAAGCCTTGGTCACGAATAGTGGGATTGTGGTAAGAATGTGGATGGCGACCAAGCCTTTCTGAAATTGTGGTGCCTTGTGCCTGGCTCCCTGTGAGGATCATCTGAATTTATCTCGTTACGGCCAAATATGGCTGAATTGGGGAGTGTTTTATGCTATTAATCATTGCATATGCTCATTGGGACGAGAGAGTGCATCTGAATTGTTCTACTTTCCAAGTTAACAAGGGTTCAATTACCGTAATTACTCGAATCTAACGCGCACCTTTTTTCCGGTTAAGCGAGTTCATAAATTGCATGCGCATTAGCATAGAGTACGAACAAAAAAATTACGGTCAATCTATTGCCATCGCAAATCTAAAATGGCCGCTCCCTACGTGCGTCGGCATGGTGCGTCAGCTATTTCTGCCTATGTGTTTACCATGTGCGGCACTTCGTACGTGTGCTGAGGAGTTCGTCATCTAGTAGTGCATTAGCATCGACGACGTGAAAGGGCCGACTCCAAAAACTCGAGTGCACCACGATGCCGCTTTTAAAAGAAAAGTCATCGCGTGTGCAGAAACGGACGGAAATCGGGCCGCAGCGCGGTCGTTCCCGAAACGTGCGTGCGGGACCGGCGGAAACAAAAGCAGAAGATTGTCGACAGCAAAGCTTCACGCAAAGGCTTCAGTGAACCACAGCAGGGTCGGTTTCCGCAAATTAAAGAGCTGCTCCGCGAGTATGTGCTTGAGGAGCGAGCGGCACAGCGGCCCGTGACGACAGAACTGCTCCAAGTGCGGGCTATGCAATTAGTCTTAGAAAAAAGTCTAATGCGGAGCCAGTTTAAAGCGAGCAGGTGCTGGCTAATTAACTATATGAAGAGGAAAGGCTCTTCCCTCCGAAGGGGAACATGCATATGCGAAAACTTTTGCGGAGAAGTACGATGACAAGCTTTACAGTTTTCAGAGGTTCGTCCTAAACTTGCGGCGCAACAACGGCTACCTGCTTGGGCAAATCTGGAATGCCGATCAGACGCCTCTTTACTTCGACATGCCTGGCACCACAACTGTCGAGAAGGGGGCGAAGCAAGTTCCCGTGCTGACATCGGTCCACGGTAAAACTACAGTGTGAAGGCAATGCTCTGTTACACGTCAGATGGGCACAAGCTTCGCCCGTACCTCATATTTAAATGGAAGACAATCCCGAAAGGAATCGTTTTTTCGAGTGGTGTGATCGTGCGGGCCAGCGAGAAAAAATGGGTGCGCGTTGCAATCGATGTCTTACGTTTTTTTTTTTTTTTTGTGGTGGAAATCGGGTGCGCGTTACGATCGAGGGCGCGGTAGAATCGAGTAAATACGGTACCCAGTTTTTACTGTATCATTATTCCAGTCTACCCCAAAATTTTTGTGAGCTGCACACTTTGAGGCATCTTTCTATCATCCAACAATAATCTTTTACTCAGCTTGCTTGCGTTTAATATCTTGAAAAGTTATAACTCTTCATTGGTTATGCTGATATGTCACACCATCTTATGTAGATAGTGCACGTGTTGTTTTTGACATGAAAGATTTATAGTGCTTACAAGACACATGCTTATGAATATTATATCCCCATCACTGATCCAGACTTATGTATACAGATCTTGATGGCCCATATTCACTCAAGCTTCATTATAACAAAATAGATTTGATTTGATTGATATGTTGGGGTTTAACGCCCCAAAACGACAATATGATTATGAGAGACGCCGTAGTGGAGGGTTCCAGAAATTTCGACGACCTGCCATTCTTTAATGCACACCCAAATCTGAGCACACGGCCCTACAACATTTTTGGCTCCATATTATAATAAAATGGGGTAAAACAACATAATAAATACGATGAAGTCAATAAAAATCCCTTTGAAAGTTTCTAGAGATGTGTGCCCTTGAAACCTTGTTTCAATGAAGTAAGATTGTCAGTTAATGGCTATAAGGAACTAAAATTCACCCTCAAAACTATCATATAGTCTACATAGTTGTGCCAGCTACTAGCGATAGTGCATCATTAATGCAAGGAAAGGCATGTTGAGATGATTAGGATTCCTGCCGTGTGGTAGAAATACATCCTGCAGTAGCAGATATTAGCCCCGCATGGGTTTAGACATTGAAGGAGGTAAAAGCAGAGAAGGGAAAAAGGAAGGAAAAGTGCTGTCTAGGATGGAGAGAAAGCAATGTGCCATCTTAGCTGCCATTTGTAACAACGCTTTTCCCTTTTCTCTCGTAACGTTAATTTCTGAAGGGGGCTGGGTTTTGTGCTCAGGGGCTTACACAAATCGATGCTGATCTTCAGAAGGTCTCGAATATGGATACCGAATGTAAAACATAGATTTTTTTGTTCCGCACTTGCTTCAACTCACGAGAACAGTCCTGTCACTGTACCTTACTTAATGCAGTGTACGAGTAATCATTGTGAGTATCATTTAGCATTTTAATCCCTGTGCAGCCATAGGCCGCGTGTTTCATAACCCTGCTTTAGAGTTTTGCCGTCTTTCCACCAGCATTATTGTGATCCAGTCATAGTGTCCTGTGATTCTCACACGCTGTCATTCTGCAATCGTCTTCGCCCCGCCGCGGTGGTCTAGTGGCTAAGGTACTCGGCTGCTGACCTGAAGGTCGCGGGTTCGATTCCCGGCTGCGGCGGCTGCATTTCCGATGGAGGCGGAAATGTTGTAGGCCCGTGGGCTCAGATTTGGGCGCACGTTAAAGAACCCCAGGTGGTCGAAATTTCCAGAGCCCTCCACTATGGCGTCTCTCATAATCATATGGTGGTTTTGGGACGTTAAACCCCACAAATCAATCAATGCAATCGTCTTCATGCTGTCATTGTCGTCATGTCATTGTCATAACATGGCGATCATCTTCATTATTGTTGTGCCATCGTTCACATTCTGAAGTTTTCTTCACCTGTACTGTGCTTTCCCCATCGATTGCCATTCTGTTGACAGTTTTGCTAAATGTCCGTGTTCTTTAATGCGCATTTGTTGAGCTCAACGGCAGTCAGTGAAAAGGCAAAGAAGAGCAGTCCTCTTGCCTGATGAAAACTGCTTTTAACTGTGCAAGGTTGATGCAGGTAATAGTTAGGCTTTATAGGTTTTTGTATGAAAAGAGATGTACAGTCTTGCGCAATATGAGAGGGAACCACTGGGATTCTCTTCTAAAAGCTGTAGTGTCCGTACTCTGTTATCAAGTGCAAGAGAGTTCTAAACAGCGAATGCTCGTGGGGGAAAGTATCTGCTTGCAATACGTTATGTCGCATTTGTATTGGTAGATTACAAGTATGTAGGTAATTTTTTATGAAACACAAATTCGGTGTTCTCCCTTCATATTGCAATGACTGCACTAGTAGGTGGGTGGCAGCTCTTCACTACATGACTATGGCAATGGAAGTGTACTTAGAGGTGTGATGTTGGAGGAGTTGCTCGCTTAGACTACTCAGACTTAGTTTGCATGGCTTATTTACTATATTAGAGCGGGCTCAGCCGTTGGGGATTAGAGTTGAACTTCTTACAAAGGAACCTGCGACGGTGTTTGACTACCACATATGCCCTGGTTCCGGGTCACCGCTGGTGCGAATTATACAGTTCCCGAAAGATTACACAGGATGCACACTCAAATCTTGACATAACGAACCCTTATATAACAATACATCGGTTATAACGAAGTAAACAAAGACTGATCTCGCTCTAGATATAGCATCAGGGATATACCTTTATAACGAATTTTTGAATATAACGAATTTATTTTCAAGTAAGATACAACTTTGTTATAATGAAGTCTTTAGTGTACGATTACATGTCTAAATGGAATGTGTGTGTGTTCACAGGTCTGCTTCAGACAGTGTTGGAGATGTTCTTCACCTCTCAAGTCTCTGACATAACCGTCATCCCCATCACCATCACGTACGACCGCACGCTCGAGGAGAACCTCTATGCCTTCGAGCTGCTGGGTGTGCCCAAACCCAAGGAGTCTACGTCGGTGAGTGCAGGCACCTGGTTTACGTAACAGCTGTACAGTAAAAGCTCGTTAATTCGAATTCCACGGGAACGCTGAGCAATTTCGAATTAAACAAAATTCGAAATAATGAAAGTGAGCAAAAATGGGTGGATTTCGGGGGTAGGGTCACGAAAAAAATTTATTGGCCAAAAAAGTCGGTGATGACCATCTGCCTCTTTTCTCTGAATGCCACAGCTGCGGCTCTCTGTTCCAGCGCGCGGACGCGGCACAGGGAATCCTCTTCACCCTCTTCAAAGCTGAAGAAGAGACGCGCCACATTAAGTGCCTCCATCACCGCAGAAGCTGACGGGCGCACAGGCGCTTCGTCATTTTTGTCTTCCTCATCTTCTGGCTCTTCAGCATCAGTCAGGACACCACACATCGATGCACCGGTGTCAACTTCAACATAATCGGCAAAACGTACGCCCCGAAGAGTGTCGCGCAATGCCACTGGCATGAGCTCCTCAGCCCCATCCACGTCGACTGATAACTATCCTGCGCACTTCCAGCTGCAAATCCACTGTGGCGGAAACAGTTTGCGATTGTGGTCGCGGTCACCTGTTCCCATGCGCGCACCAACATGTGCATGGCGTGAACGGACAACGTGCTCGAGGAACAAAGTGACGCTGCCGGGAGCGGCCTAGGACTGCTAGGACTACTCCGCTGGCTCCTCAGCGTCCCGTGGGTCCCGCGTACAAGTGGCGCCAGGTGCTGAGATAGCGGGAAGGCTACGGAAAAAAAAAAATTGCTCCCTGGATTTTGGAGGCCATACTTTGCTCGCCCTTTGCTCGGAGGCCACTTAAAGCTCGAAAAAACTGGTCGTGCCACCTATCGTTCGACCGTAAAAGCTTCCACTAGTGTTTGACGATGATGACGCTCGGCGACGCGCGCTTCGAATTATCCGTAAAGGCAGCAATTTCTGTTCGAATTAACGAATCGTTTTACACATGGTCTCCTATGCACTGCGGACCGGACTGCGGCGACCATTTCGAATTATCCAAAATTTCGAATTAATGAGGTGTGAATTAACGAGCTTTCACTGTATTTTGTTTATTTAATAATTTAGTACCTTTAATGTCCAAAGGTGTTACAAAATGGTGTGGGTGACAGTGTGCCATATTTAGTAGATTATAATGCGAACCTTTTAGGGGTGAAGCTTTTTACGCTGTGGGTCATACGTCCCGTGTTTGTTGTAGTAGCCACCTCTCGTTTAGTCCTTAGAATGTCCGCTGGAGGGTGGTCCTTGTATATGATGAATATATTGTCACGTGCTACAAAAGGTCTTCAACTCGGAAGAACTGAGCCGGCGGGGAGACGCACTGAAAACTGGCAAAATTGCTGCTTCAATAATCAACAACTAACCAGAGCGCGTGTTGCTTCAGAACATCGTCTTTCATTCTAGCAGGCAGCCATGATTTGGGCTCGCCGTACCTAGCGGCCAAGTGGCATTATTCCCCCTCTGAAAAAAAAAAAAAAAGGGCATCACTTTGATGCTCTGAAAGTTGAAAGGTAAAGTCGGGTCGAACCAACAGAAAATACATGCATACAAAAAAAAAACAGCAATAAGGTTCATGCGTAGTCGCACTACTGCGTAAAGTACGGCTTCAGTCGCAGTACGTGCACAATCTCCGAGGAGTGCCTTCGCCGCCGTGGCGAGAAGGTGCCATCAGGGACTATCTCGTAGTTCACATCACTCACGCGTCGCTACACTTTGTACGGTCCGAAGTAGCGACTGAGCAGTTTTTCTGACAATCACTGGCGTCGGACTGGAGTCCACACCCAAACTTGATCGCCTGGATGGTATTCAACTTGTCGATGGTGAGCGTTGTAGCGGCATGCGTCTGCACTCTGCTGGTGCGTAATGTGTAGGCGTGCTTCTTCGACATATTGGGTAAGCTGCACTGGGTCAGGAGTGATCAAAGCGTCGCAATTGTGTGGAAGCATCGCATTCAGCATGGTCTGGAACTCGCGTCCGTAGACAAGACGGAAAGGCGTGAATCGCGTAGTTTCCTGGACAGCAGTATTGTACGAGAATGTGACGTATGGTAGCACCTGGTCCCAGGTCTTAAGCTGGACATCTACGTACATGGATAACATGTCAGCGATGGACTTGTTGAGTTGCTCTGTCAAGCCCTTGCTCTGCGGATGATATGCCGTGGTCTTGCGATGGCTCGTGTAGCTGAGCTTGAATACGTCATGAGTGAGCTGGGCCGTGAATGCTGTTCCTCTGTCTGTGATTATGCACTGACGGGGCGCCATGTCGAAGAACTGATCTGGTTCATAAAGAATTGGGTGACGTCGAAAGCCATAGCGCGTTGTAGTGCTTTTGTTTCGGCATACTTCGTCAAATAGTCGGTGGCTACTACAATGCACTTATTGCCGGCAGATGATAGCAGAAAGGGACCCAGCAAATCCATTCCTATTTGATCGAATGGCGCTCTAGGTGGTTCTATTGGTTGAAGAAGCCCCGCGAGCTTCAGTGGCGGGGATTTGCGGCGTTGACGTTCCCGGCAGCTTTTCACGTATCGCTTTACGGATGCGGAAAGCTTAGGCCAGTAGTACGCTTGTCGAACTCGAGCGAGGTTCGTGAGAAACCTAAGTGACCAGATGTGGGCTCATCGTGGCAGGCGAGAAGAATGTCGTCATCCATGTCAGTTGCCGCAACTAGAAGATAGGTTCCCTCATTGCCGTTGGAGTTTTTCTTACACAGGACACCATCTCGCAGACAGAATGACGACAGACCTCGAGAAATACATCGAGGTATGAAAGAGTTGCGCCCTTCAAGGTTTTCGATAGCTGTGCGAATTTCATCGTTCGTGCGCTGTCGTGTAATCAGATCCATTGTAGTAAGAGCCCCAAGGAAACCACCGTCATCCTCGGTGTCGTGGCCACAAACTTCGACAGGTGCATGGGACAATGAATTGGCATCTTCGTGCTTGCGACCCGATTTGTAAATGATCGTGAAATCTTATTCCTGCAGACGGAGACTCCATTGTGCCAGTCGCCCACACGGGTCCCGTAGGTTGGCTAACCAGCACAACGAATGATGGTCGGTCACTACCTTGAAGTGTCGTCCGTAAAGGTAAGGCCTAAATTTCATCATGGGCCATACAACAGCAAGGCACTCTTTCTCTGACGTGGAGTAGTTGACCTCGGCGCGGGAAAGAGCACGGCTTGCGTACGCTATTACTCGCTCTGTGCCCTCTTGTTGTTGGACGAAGACAGCACCAAGACCCATGTTGCTGGCGTCAGTATGAATTTCAGTATCAGCGTCTTGGCCAATGTGTGCGAGGACTAGTAGTGTCTGCAAACGCTCCAGTAGTTAAGAGAAAGCAGCGTCCTGTTCTTCCTCCCAGACGAATGGAACAACTTCAGGAGTAAGTAGAGTGAGCGGTTCAGCAATCCTACAAAAATTGGCTATAGAGCGGCAATAGTACGCGCAGAGCCCTAGAAAGCGACGTACTGCCTTTTTATCACATGAAACAGGAAATGAGGCCACGGCGGTACTTTTGTCAGGGTCTAGCTGAATACTATCCGCTCTGACAACATGGCGAGAAACTTAAGTTCCTTTTAACCGAAGGGGCATTTTTCTGGTTTCAGTGTCAGGTTAGCAGAGCGGAGCGCTTCCAGCACATTTTGCAGACGCTTCAGGTGCTCCTCAAAGGTCGCAGAAAACACGACATCATCCAGATAAACTAGGCATGTGTGCCACTTTAGACCGGTAAGAACAGTGTCCATCATTCTCTGGAATGCCGCAGGTGCACAACAGAGGCTGAAGGGAAGCACTTTAAATTCATATAGGCCATCCGGTGTAATGAAGGCGGTTTTTTCACGATCTCGTTCATCAACTTCGATCTGCCAGTAGCCAATTTTCAAGTCTATCGATGAAAAATACTTGGCCCGCCACAGTCTGTCGAGGGAATCGTCGATGCGGAGCAGCAGATAGACGTCTTTTTTAGTCACGCTGTTAAATTTTCTGTAGTCCACGCAGAAGCGCAGTGATCCATCTTTTTTCTTCACGAGCACGACCGGAGATGACCAGGCACTCTTCGAAGGTTGGATAAAGTCATTATGCAACATCTCTTCGACTTGAGCATTTATCACGTCACGTTCCTTTTCCGAAATGCGGTAAGGGTGTTGTTTTGTGTGCGAGGCATCGGTATACGTAATTATTCGGTGTTTGGTGATCGATGTCTGACGAACCTTCGAGGTGGACGCGAAGCACTCTTTAAATTGATATAGCAGTTCACGTAGCTCAGTCTGTAGTTGTTCCGAGAGGGTTGAGTTGATAACAACTTTTGCAAATAGTGAAGTCACATCGCTTGGTGTTGGTCGAAGCCCGTCGTCGGCTGATGTAGATGCAAAGCATTCAGAAACGTCTGCGATAGGTTAGGCGAAAGCGATGGTGTCACGAAACAGGTGCCGGTACTCGTTACTGAAATTAGTCACAAGTAAGGCACAGTGTCCGTCATAAAGCATGACAAGGCTGCGTGCAGTGCAGACCCCTCGCGCGAACAAAAGCGCTAAGTTGCCTTCGGCGACAACCTCACCATCACGTAACTTGTCGGAAACCACATCAACTAGGACGCTTGAAAGCGAGGCAACGTGATGCTATCGGCAGAAACGTGAAACGTGCTGTCACGGATATCGTCAGATTTGTCAGAGGATTCAGCTGTCGAAAACGTCACGGTACGCTCTCGAAGATCGATGATAGCGCCGTGCTCCCGCAAAAAGTAGACTCCCAGGATTAGGTCTCGGGAACAGTCGCGAAGTACGAGGCAGCTGGCGAGAAATGTACGTCTCCAAATGCTCGCTCTGATAGTGCACATGCCGATTGGGGTGACTATGTGCCCACCGGCAGTACGAATTTGTGCTTCGTACCAAGGCCTAACAACTTTCTTTATGTGCGCTGCTAGTTCTCCACTCATGATTGAATAGTCCGCACCTGTATCCAATAATGCACTAACGTCGTGGTGACCGTC